CCTAGAGGCGGTACAGAGGTAGGTGCAATTTTTTTCCACATCACCAGCATAGTACCGATCAGATTCCAGAGTAAGGCCGCGCCTGGAGTCTGAGTTATACTTCTTGAACGTGTTCCTTCCCGTCTGATTACTGGAGATCCAAAAGATTCTCTCTCGGCTCTTGAACTTTGCGTTCGTGTTTTGTATTTTTTATTGTATGTTACGGTTATCGCAAAAAGTCGCTTTAATTCCACACCGAATGTGTTAACGAATACAACACAACTTTATAGCTAACCAACTCCTGCAGCCTTCACCCGCCTCCACCTCCGCCAAATTAGCTACAACCCTCAAATCCACCCTCAAACTCGACAAACCGCGTCACGAGCAAATCTACAACCTCCCCAACATCCTCACATTTTCGCGACTCATAGCCACCCCTGTAGTCGGATATCTAATCATCCACGACCAACATCTCTACGCCTTCTCCCTCTTCGCCTATGCCGCCTTTTCCGACCTACTCGATGGCTGGATCGCGCGCCGCTGGAACCTCCAAACCGTGGTCGGCAGCGTCGTCGACCCCATGGCCGACAAGCTCCTAATGACAACATTGGTAACATGCCTGGCAGTCAATGGAAGTCTTCCGATGCCACTCGCCGCACTGATCCTAGGAAGAGATGTCAGTCTGGCAGTGAGTGCGTTTTACTACCGATACGCCAGTCTACCCGCACCCAAGACCATGGCCCGATACTGGGATTTCAGCTTGCCAAGCGCGGAGGTACATCCCACCACCATCTCCAAGTTCAACACATTTCTGCAGTTGAGTCTATTGGGAACGCTGCTTTGCACAAACTTGCTACATGATCCTTCAGCCACGACATCCGCAGCTGGAGGCTTGCTCCTGTCGATCCAAGATATAGTAGGAGGCGAAGAAGGCGTCAAGACGATGATCCAGGGCATGTCAGCCATCGTGGCCAGCACGACGATGTACAGCGGTCTCGAGTACACCTGGTCTAAGAAAGCAGTCGTCATCTTGGGCGGCGATGAAGCTTTGAAGAGGAAACAGGGTTTCCGCGGCAGGATGATCATGGCGGGTGGCTTTGGTTCTTTCATTGCGCTTGCGGCGTATTTGTGGTTCAATCGTCAGGCTGAGGAGGACTTGAAGAAGGAGGCGAATAAAAAGCTGGGTACCAAAAGTGCGTGAGCGTTGTTGGTACGTCATTTTTGTATTATAAGAGATAGCACCCACTAGGTATTCGATAGCGGATACGAGGATGTGGAAATAAAACGGTGCGAAATTCACTTCTGCATGCCTCTACTCCGGAATGTGTGACCACATGCAGTGCCTTCATCCCTTCGTCCCGTGCCGCTCTTTGTTGCATTAAAGCCAGTAGCTCCATGTTTCAGCCACCACCATATATCGAATTTCCTAATCTGGTCATGAATGTTCATAATGATGGTTATATGTGCCTTCCAGCACCTTCTGAATCCTTTAGGGCTAGTTGAGCAAACAGGAGTGTCCACAAAAGAGCGCACAAACATGGGAAAGAAGGAGAGGAAGGGTTGTAGCTGACAAGGTCGCCTAATTGAACAAGTGAAGTAGCGATGGAAGCGAATATGAATGGCCTAAGCTGAAGCGTGTATGCGTTAGGAAATCAACAACGAAAGAAACGAAGCATGCTGCACAGTTTGAAGATAGGCGATACATCCTTCGTAAATATATGTTTACATATAAGCGCTGCCAAAGACAACCTAAAATACATAGACTACATTACACATCGTCCCAAAAACCCCAACTCTACTTCAACGACGCCTTCCCCTCCCACGTCCCCACCGCCTTACTAAACAGCTCCTTACACGGAACCCTCGAGCCCAATCTCGCACACAGCAAGAACGCGCCCGAAAGTTTCCGATGAAGCGAGTACGTCTCTTCCGGTGGCGGCGCAAGCCTCTCTTTGACCATAACGGGGATCAAGCCACGCACTCTATCCGTAATCGTTTGGTCTCTGAAATCGTATATCTCGGGCCCACTACCGCTAAACGGTTCGGCAAGCGTGAGTACACTCTGGATATGGGCGTCGAGCATGGCGGGGCTCTCGTTGCCGGTTAGGTAACCGAGTTCGACGGAGAGGTCGCGGAGAGAGGAGCGGTCGCCTTTGGAGGCTGCAATCAGGATTTTGATGTAGGGTTCGACGAACTTGTCGGGGTAATCTCGCGAAGCACCGAAGTCTAGCAGTTCGATCTTCTGGGCGGAGGCGTTGTAGAGGAAGTTTGTCCAGTTGGGGTCGGTCTGCATGAACTTGAACTCTACAATCTCGCGGAGACAGAGACGGAGGATTTGCGTGCCGATCCAGTCGCGTTGCTCCTGGGTTAGGGTCTTGAGTTTGGTTACGCCGACACCGTGCATGAGCTCTGCGGTCAGGACGGTGGGGCCACAGGCTTCGGGGAAGACTTTAGGAACGGTGAAGACATCAGTGTCGTCTTGAAGGAGGTTGCGGAACCGAGTTTGGCATTCGGCTTCGCGCGTGTAATCGCATTCCCAACCCAGTTCTGTTCGGGCGTTGGCGATGGTCTTGTCTAGGTACAGACCCTTTGGCAGGAGACGCGATGCGGTTAGGAGGATGGAAAGGTTGCTAAGGTCAGAGTCGATGGAGTTGGCAACGCCAGGATATTGGACCTTCACAGCTACTGCCTGGCCATTAGACTTGAGTACCGCTTTGTGTACCTGTCCAATCGATGCTGCCGCAATAGGTACATCTTCGAACGATTCGAAAAGATCGCGCCAATTGTCCCCAAGGTTGCTGCTCAAGACTTTGTTCCGTTGTGAGGCCGGCATGTAGTCTGCGCTATCCTGCACCCGTTGCAAGACATCATGAATCGCTGGTGGCAGCATCTTGATGTCTTGGAAGCTGATCATTTGCCCAAGCTTGAGAGCGGCACCTCGCATGCGGGAGAGCTTTGCGACCAGTATTTCCATGTTCCCAGGGCTCAGCATCAACGAGCCACCAGTTGACGCAGCACTGCCGGTCGCTCGTCGAAGACCTTCACCGACAGCTCCGAGTGCCATGCTTGTGCCTAAACCAGCGTACTGCCATATGCGACCGAACCGTGACGAAGGGACTCTCGACTCTCGTAGCGCGTATGATGACTTCTCTGGTTGGGTCGCTACCTCATTTGGTGACTATTGTACAACTGTCAGCAAATCAGCAGGCTTCAGGCTAGTAGATGGATTTGACATACTTCAGACGCAGCCGCATTTGACTGCACGTCCTGGGCAAGTTGGGATGCCAGGTCTTCCATCTCCTTTGAGGAAGTCGCGGATTGAGCTTCCTGACCCGGTTTTGATTGTGTTAACGGCTGATTTTGTTGCTGTACTGAGGGCAAGGGTCTGTCGTCGAGTGGATGCCTGCCGGTGGGTTTTGCTACGGGTCTGTCATCCAACGGATGTCTACCACTGGTCTTCCGCTCTGCATATTCCTTTCTCGAGAAAGGATCGCTTCCTAGCATCCTAGCAACTTTTCTCGAGTGGAAGACATCGGTGTTGATACCCTCTGGTAGGTCTTCCTCCACTTGCCTCTGCGCCGGCTTGGGTACATTGTAGAATACGTCCTGATTCATTTGCTTGTCCGACACATGTTCGTCACTTTGCTGTTTTGTTCCTGAATTTCGGGGTATCTGTGATTGAGGTTGTGACGAGGCTGTTGGTTGCAATTCGACCGATCGGGTGTAGAAGACGTCTCTGTCATGACCCTTCTGCAGCTTCTCTGCCTGTGGAGATATCGGCGTCTGTTGAGGGTCGTTCGCGTGTGCGGGGATCGTTTCAGCGGTTTGTGTAGAGGCGCCCCTGGGGTTTCTGGGAAGCGGTATGGTGGTCTCTGTAGACTCTACCGGTTTGATGCCCTCGTCCTTGTGACGAACTTGTTCACCCTGGTCCTCAGCCAGAGGTTCCTTCGGCGCCTCATGTACTGGCCTCTCGGAGAACACATCCTTGCCCTTTTCCTCTTGTTCGAGTGTCAACCCTTGGCTTGGTATGGTGCCGTCTGGTAGCGGGGATCTGGGGGCCTTCTTCTGCTCGACCTCCAATTCTTCTGTGGGCGGAGGCGCCTGAGAGCTACTTTGACCTGATCGATCGTAGTGATGATCCTGCTCTACACCCTCTCTAGTACCTTCTACGGGTGTATCCCTCTTCACGGTGTCTCTTCTAGGTATATCCGCCTGCTGTGTCCATTGTGTGTTCGTCGCCCGCTCGGCTGCGGCTTTCGCGTACGAGGGAGCTTCTTCGCTGAAGCGCTGTGAGAGGGCGATGGCAGCGGCTGCCGTGAGGGTGACGCGGTCCGTTTGGTTCTTGACGGCTTTGGCTAGCGACGAGGTTTTGTTGTAAGCGTCCCACTGATTAGAGCGAAGCGCGACGTGCTTCTGTGCGACAGATTTGGAGGCATTGAAGAGCTTGGCGGCGTCGACAAGCCGTCTACCTGCCATTTCGATCGGATGAAAGGGCTACCGGGAGGCGCGACACATGACCGAGGTGTGCTGTAGCTTTGCGTAAGCTGCGGAGGCTCTGGTGAGGCCATCGAAAGTTATGCGCGTCATAGCTGGATGGGGTTAGGCTGCAGTGCGGAAATGGCGCGATTGGCTGGCCATCATAGCCGACAAGGGTCTTGATCGTCTAGTGGGGCAGCCAGCTGCATCTATACCCTCAACAGCGCGACATTTGATTTACTGTACTCTCCATATCCGTCGCCGCATTCGGCCCCATTTTCCTTTTGGTACCCAATCAGACTTCGTAGCCATCTGTCACGACAAATCAACCAGTGCTTGGTGCCTGAGTAGCGTCAGTCGGTACTTCCCAGTCACACGGGAAGATAGCAACTATTCGGCCTATCAGTCTCGACTGATTCAGGCACAAGATACAAGTGTTCTCTTAGTAGCCTTCCGAAAACCCCAGGCAGCCTCACAATTCCACGCCGAAGTCCTGGACGTACCCAGAATCCGTTCATTCAAACAAACCCAAGAGAGTTGCAAACATGAAAGTCGCCTGTCTCCAGTTCGCCCCAGAAGTCGGGCGCGTCCCAGAAAACATCCAAAGAGCAGAACGCATCCTCCAGTCCACCGCCATTCCTCACGACCTAGCATGGCTCGTCCTTCCCGAACTCGCCTTCTCAGGTTACAACTTCCAATCACTGGAGGAGATCCAACCCTTCCTCGAGCCTACCACATCCGGCATCTCAACCCAATGGGCGCAGAAAGTAGCAAAACACTACAACTGCCACGTCACAGTCGGTTACCCAGAAATCACCACCCCAGCCACCAATCCCGCGGACAGTCAAACGCAGTACAACTCCACCGTCACTGTATCGCCAGATGGAGAAATACTAAACAACTACCGGAAATCCTTCCTTTACTACACAGACGAGACATGGGCATCTGAAGGACCGGGCTCGAAGTCGCATAAACTATCCAATCCCTCATCGCCAGATTCTCCCTTCTATGCCGGTCAACTCGGTAGCCTGGGGAAGGTTACCATGGGGATATGTATGGATATAAATCCTTACAAGTTCGTCTCTCCTTGGGCCGATTACGAGTTCTCTACTCTCGCTCTAACATCACAATCTCCGATTGTTTGCATAAGCATGGCTTGGCTGTGCCATCTCACGCCTGCGGAACTTGTACAGGAGCCATCGCAGCCGGATATAGCGACGGTAGCGTACTGGGTCGAGCGCTTCCAACCGCTTGTTGAGGCCAAGGGGGATAAACCCGTCTATATCATCATGGCGAATCGGTGTGGAATGGAGAAGGGCGTCTGCTATGCAGGCAGCAGTACGGTGATAAAGATCGAGAAGGGCGTTGTCAGTCTGTACGAGACAGCGGGCAAGAGCGAGGAGACTTGTTTGATCGTGGATCTGACCCAGCGACCCAAGTTCCAGGTGAGGAGTGGGAGGTGATGGGTCAGAGAACGTCAACATGAGGGCTTTACCTTATACGGGTAAACCCCTAAACACCCCGGAGCCTACAGATCTTCTGATCCGTTTATTCTTATTATGGTGTAGTCTGCAGACCTGTTTGGGGGTTTCCTTGTCTGAGGTGGCTTGCTTTCAGAGGCAGGTTCGCTAATATGGCCATTCTTAGGCAGATCGGACGTACGACGGAGATCGCCTTGGGCTGATACTGAGACGCTTACCGTTGCAACGGCGATTGTTGTCGGCCGCTCCAAAGAAACCTTACGCGAAGAGGTGATCGTCGAAGAACGGTTACTCAAGGAAGTCACCTCAATTGATAAGAAACCTGAACACCCTGGAACCTACATGAACGCCAGATTTTCTAATTTGCCTGTGTTATCCTAGTTTAGCCTGCAGACATATTCAGGTCTTTACTTGCCTGAGATGGCGTTATCGAAAGGCAATGGGGCTGAGTCAGTATCGCGGGGGTCATCGGGGGGAAACAAACAATGCAGCAGTCAACATTCTTCACAAGAGCGCCGTACGTGTGTAGTCTTCTCGCGCCAGATGTGATACTGAGCCTGAAATGGAGTTAATGGCCAACCCGCGTTTGGAGTGCGAGTCCAGCATATGACGAAAGCGGCGGTCGTGTCATATGACGCATCTGGGATCATATTGCGCGCAGTACATCACGATCATCAGCACACCAGAAGTCATTTGTTGTGACCCAGCAAGTGTCTCCATTTAGCACTGCTCAGATCTAAACCATCATGAATCGATTCCTTTCATTCCCATTTACAGACCCAAAGCGCCATGAATGAGAGGTAGGTAGGTATCCGGTAACGTGAAAAGAACACCACCCATAGCATCCCTCGTTTGCAGACGTGCTTCGCTTAGAAGACTGGTCGCTCGCTTCCCGCCATGTGCGAAATTCCCAATGTAGTCGCTCGTTTCGTGTGGGGTAGGTTGTCGGCGCAGTAACAAGGAGTAGTTGGGAATCGAGAATCGAGTGAGGGATGGTTCGTCGGGGGCGATACGCTTAGATACCGAGACGAGTCTTGCGCCAGTGTCGGCGCTTGGCGTTGTACCTGTGGGCGGAATGTCAGTCTCGTACTCTCATCATCATAATGTCGTATCCTCGTAATCTCTAGCGACGGAGATCGGAAGCGGCGAGAGCGTGCGGATCGTGGGTAGAGCGTACCTGATGGTGTTGCCGGTCCTCAGGCGAATCCACTGGGGGATGGGGCGGTTCTGCTTCTGCGCCTTTGCAAGCTTCTGCTTGGTGCGGAAGGACTTTTGGGACTGCGAGAGTGTCAATAAGTGGCCCTGCAGTGTTTCGCAACCGCGGGCGGTGATATCATACCGGCATCTTGACTGCTTGTTGTGAGTAGTCGGATGTCGAAAGGTGTTGTCGATGTCGGAAAAAAGCCAGGAATATTGATCGATGTTGGTGCGCTTGGCGGGCGGCAAGCAGAAACGGCTAGACTGTGTTGGGCGCGCTAGCGGGGCTTTAGCGTCATTGCCGTCTCAAACGCGCAGGTGCGCTGACCTGCAACATCGACATTTCGCTGCTCCAGATCTTTGAAGTGCGCAGAAGGGCTGAAGTCTCAAGCGAAATATCTAGTCTTGTATCAAGAACCGTTTCCTGCGCTGTGCTTCGCGGGGTGTGTCTGACTTCGTAGTTCGGCTCTGCGGCGTGACCGCGCTGAACTAACATGCATAGCCAACATTGCGCAAAATCGCAGAGCGCCATACCGGACTGTATCATGGCATCTGATGCATCATTTGGCCTAGCAGCCAAGTTCTGATTAGTAGAAATGGGTCAGCATCCAATTATGCGACTCTACTACAGTTGACCACGCCTCCCCCGCTTTCCACATAACTTCTCAGGGAAACCTTGGAAGGAATGATGCACTAAGACGGTTCTCCTAAGAGTCGGTATTGTATCTGCTATTATTACTGATTTTATAAATGCGACAACTACCTCACAAGTCAATCTCAGCAAATGATATCTAGCAGCCAGGCGTTCTATCACAATATTCGCTTCTACCTCATAAACTTGGTCGCATAACCGTATCGCAAATATGGAACCGAAAGATTCCAAAGGTACGAGGGCTGCCCATAGTTACCGTATACCTCCAGAAGATGTCGTTAAGTGAGAGTAGAAAATGCAGCATTACAAGACACCCATGCAACAGCAGCTGCCACCCTACTTAAACTTCCAAACCAAAACACCGCCTCGGAATCATCTTCTCCTCCTCCCCAAACAACAGCCACCCGTCGCCTCCGCGCGGTCAAAGCACACCTCGCCCCTCCTAAACGCTATGCAGTCTACGCAAAAGACCCTAAGAACATAGCCCAAGTGGCCGCAACGCGAGCGTGGCTCGACACCATCGTGTACGACACTTTCGCGATACGAGAATTTTACAGCTGGTATTGGGGTGATGAGGGTATACCGAAAGAAGAGATCGAAAAGGCCGATGCTGAAGGTAGATTGGAGCAATGGTTTGATGAGGCTGAGGTTGTATCTATGTGGTCGGGGTGTATGCTCGACGAGGAAGGGGCGAGGTTGGTGGCGGAGAAGACAGACTGGATTTCAGTGATTGACGGGAGACGGTATCACATCTCTGATATGTGCTGATGTGGAATGAGGTTTTCAAGAGGAGAATTTGTTGACACTAATACTGTGGCAAGGTGGAGATACATGCTTGTTTCAACATATCACTACATTATTCCAATGTGTGTGGAAGAGTAGCTCGATGTTTCTAACGTGGTCGGTGAATTTCATCACTCCAAATTTCCGGAAAGCCTAGAACAAGAATGCTCTTACGCGATAGTCCGCGCATGGTGTCCTTGCAGCATCGAATAGTAAAGAGGACCGGGTGCGGGACTACTTCATGAGGATATAGCAAACGACGGATTCCAACTGTGACAGATGAGCATGAGCCATTGCCCGACGAAAGCTCGGTCGACTCGTGTCGCGCAGTGATTCGTGAACCTTCTGGGGAAAACATTAAGGGTGCTGTTCTAGGAGCATTACGGTGAATTCACTGACTAGCGCGGCGCTACGGAATAGGCAACTGCGCCCCGAGGTCGTCGCCATTTCCACACTCGTCCTCAGTTACCAGCATTGAATCCCACCTTCAAAATAGCGCATCTCGACCCCGGCGCACACAGTGGTGCTTGGTCGCAGTCGTCGCAGCAATGGCTTCAAACTTTCTGTAAGGCGCATTGACACGATATCCGCGACCATTCTAACAGTTTTGACAGGACCATGGATCTCGACACAGTCACCGTGCGCGTCGGCGAAGCAGAATCAGCAGTGAATATCACCGTCTATCGCAATTTACTATCCGATGTCTCACCTTACTTTCGCGGCGCTTTCGAGGGTTCCTTCGTGGAAGCCACTGATCGCTTCATATCCCTGACAGACGTCACTGAGCATACCTTTCGTATGTTTCTACAGTGGGTACACACCCAAGTTTATGAGCACTCAAGTGGCGCTACGATTCCTTCACCTGCGATACTTCTTCACGGATCAACAACGAAGAATGCTGGCAACACTACCACGGGTCCTGTAGAGGTACAGCCCCCACATCCTACGCAAAGCGTTCCAGACGCCGAGACTCTGCCAGATGCAACATCAGCACTTGACGAGCTGGACGGCCATCAAAAGCGATGGGATGTGAACGAGATAGAAGGGCTGTGCTCCGAAAACTCGGAATTGATCAACGGATACCGCTTGTCGCTGCTTTCTTTCCTGCGTCTGTACGTCTTTGCCGACAAATACAACGTCCCCCAGCTACGAGATGACGTCTTGACCGCCTTGACCGCACAGTCAATCTCATGGTGTTGGTGGCCTGATATTGAGCGAGAACTGATGGAGTCTGCATACGCAGCTCTGCCGTCATCATCTAAGTTCATTCGCCTCTTGGTCCTGTCCACAGCCTACTGTTGGCTCTCGCAGCCTGGAACCTCCAGTGCTACTAAAATGCGTGCAATGAAGGAGATGAACGAGGAATTTGCTTTCGAGGTCATGGTTGTCCAAAATCAGAGGCTCAAAGATGGAGAGTCGTTGGAGGGTATGCCGTCAGAGGGTATGCCGTTTTGGCTGGAGGAAGCTATGCCAGATTCCTGCACCTTGCACGAGCACCTAGCACGAGACGCAGCGAAATGCCGAGAACGAATCTGCGACCAGCCGTACATCTTCACCGGACTCATCGAGATGTGCGCGCAAGACGCCTTGTCCATGGCGAAAGAGTCTGATGAGGGGTAGCCGCACCTAAAGAAAAAGACTGAACAGGTGTGCGGCCGTCTACACTACTTTAGAAATTCAAATTAACAGTGTCCCAGGGTAAGGCAGATGTCGAGGATGTCGGTGTTCAGTTTTTCGTTTGCATGTGGTGGATAGGTGGGGAATGCATCCTGGGGTACACACTACCTAGGGAGCGCTGATGAATGACCAAGACATTCGTGTCAAGGGTTCAAATTTTGGCGCCGACCTCTGAAGATGATAGACAGCCAAGACAGGAGTTTGAGACCTGGAACGGCGCTACTGTACCGGCGTGGGGATGAGTACATTACTTGAGACTGCCGGTCAGTGTGGGTCCCCGCCAAAAAATGGGCACAGAACGGCTAGAAGGCTCAACTTCATGAAGTCAGGTCCCAACGGAAGATGCCAGCTGACAAGCGAATGAAAGTGATGTCCCAGAGGGGCTCAATGTGACTGCGTGAAACATAAGACACGAAACTATAGTCGAAATCTTGCAGCGATGTCTCGGCTGTTCGACCCCAGATTGCTAGTGTGGCGCTATGGCCACAGCTAAAGTGGATGCAGGCGCAAGGATTCTGGGCCTCAGAAATGTCGATCCCGTCTCCGAACCAGGACCCTCTTGTTTCGGCGAACCTACTCGTCGCATTCGCGCACGCGTCGGCGGTACCACGGTTGGTCATGTCTCTTGGGCGTTGACACGGCTGAAGTGCTTCACGGCATCTTCTTTTTAACTCTTCGCATCGCCTCGCTTTTCATCTCAAGTCTGTTTGGCTGGCGCGCGCATTTACCCGTTCAAGTCTTTTCCCGTAGTCCATCGCGGTGCGCGATAGCGATAAGAGAACGACACCAGGTTGGCTCATTGTCTTTGTCGCGTCGACGCGCAGGAACTTGATTCGAAGGAATTGGCCCTCTAATCACGCCTCTTCAGCGACTGTATTCCAATCGCAACCATGACAGACTATGGCTCCACACCACCGCCCAAGTCGCCCTCTCCGGTGACGGTCCCACGCTCCTCGAGCCTCCCGCGCCTGGCCAGCTCCAAGCTCTTCCTCCCGCTGCAGAACGATGCTTCGGCGATATCTACGCGCGGGCACCACCTCCCCTCGCTACTCAACAGCGCACGTCGACCGTCCACTATACGCAGCAGTGAGCGCCGGGGCAGCGACACAGACGATGAAGACCTGGAAGCATACAGGAACGGGCTCGTGATGCCTTACGACCGCGACTCCGATCGGAGGAGCAGCATAGGCGCGCATGTGCTCAACACGCCGCAGATGAGGAGCCAGCGGCTGATTGGCAACTCCAATCCCCGATACAAGTGGGAGAAGTACTACAAGTCAGAGGAAGAGCTCAAGGGCATGAAGAAGCCGATCCGCGAATACTACGAGCGCAACAACCAGCTCCTGCAGCACTACCTGTACATCGACCGTCTACTTGACTCCTCCCTCCCGCACAACCTCATCCAAGAGTACACAAACATGGAATCTGGCGCCGTCAAGATTCCCTCAACCATCAGGGAAGAGTCTTCGGCTTCGACTTCTCCCCTCGCTGTTACCCCCGCTGGTACAAATGGCACCAACACACCCGGTTACTATAGTGAGAACGGGCGAAGTGGTTCATCAGGCAGTCTCAACGGCAACGGCGCTCAAAAACCCATGGTCAAGCGCACACCGAAGAATCTCTACAAAGTCCCCGAAGCAGACGAAAACACGCCCCTTCTCGCACACGACGAGGCCGTAGAAGACGAAGAGGACTTGGAGGTCGCAAACTCCAAGTTGAAGGACTGGGTTCCTGAAGAAGACGAAGACACCGAAAGCCCCATTGTCAAGCTCGCACTATACGTCAACCTCAGCGCAAACACAGCCCTCCTGATCATGAAGATTGTCGTCACAGTCCTCACCTCGTCCCTCTCCGTAGTGGCCAGTTTGGTCGACGCGGCACTAGACTTCCTCTCCACGGCCATCGTATGGTTCACATCATGGATGATCGCGCGTCAAGACCGCTACGCCTACCCAGTCGGCCGCCGCCGTCTCGAACCCATCGGCGTACTCATCTTCTCCGTCATCATGATGACATCCTTCTTCCAAGTCGGCATTGAGGGCATTTCCCGCCTCACTGGACCCGACCGTACAATCGTGCAATTGACCATTCCCGCCGTGGCCATCATGGCCGCTACAGTCGTCATCAAAGGCCTCTGCTGGCTATGGTGCCGTCTCATCCGTAACTCGTCCGTCCAGGCACTGGCTCAAGACGCTATGACTGATGTCGTCTTCAACACCTTCTCCATCCTCTTTCCGCTCGTGGGTTACTTCGCGAAGATCTGGTGGCTCGACTCGCTCGGCGGTATCTTGCTCTCTGCTTATGTCATCATCAACTGGAGTGCTACCTCCGCTGAGCACATTCGCAACCTGACCGGTGCTAGTGCCACGGCAGATGAGCGCAACATCCTCCTCTACATGACAATGCGCTTTGCAAAGTCTATTAAGAGGATTCAGGGTCTGCAGGCTTACCACGCGGGTGATAAACTGAATGTCGAGGTCGATATTGTGGTTGATGAGAATCTCAGTTTGAGGGATAGCCATGACTTGGGTGAGAGTCTGCAGTATGTGCTTGGTAAGTCATCCTTCTATATACATTTACATAGTTGTAAACTAACAGCCACACAGAAAGTGTGCCATACGTTGATCGCGCGTTTGTACATATCGATTATACGGATTACAACTTCCCGACACACATGTCGCAGCAGGAGTGAGCGGAAGATGTGCCTGGCACCTGAGTTGGCTGTACATATAGCATCGGAGACAAAAGCATCTGGAAATGGAAGACCTGGCTGAGCAATAGAAGCATGCTGGTACATAGCATGTGGTTGCGAACTCGCCTCCCGTAAAGACTGCCCATCATCGCCTCTTCTCAGGCTCACGTGGTTGCTATTGGTTTATGGAACTGGGGATATCCGCAATAAAGGACGTCGAAACGAAAGCGAGCGTGAAAGAGAGACATCAGTCCGACTGGACGGTCCCCAGTCCTAGAAGAGACGGTAGGGAAAAACATTGCCCGGAACTCTACATAGAGCCAAAAAGAATAGAACGACAGAAAGAGGTACCCATGTCGTTGCTACGACCATACATGCACTCACCACGTGCAACCAACCAGCCGTCTCCTTTTCCTCTCACGACCTGATTCCTTCGTCAAACTGTTCTCACACAGCTCATCCGACAAAGGATCTATGATACTCGTTAGCAAAAAGTCAAAGCGCACAGCCACTCCGTAATCTTAGACTTACCATGATTTTCCAGATCACCGGCGCAACTGATTTGCTGCTCGCCCTTGAACAGCGCTCCCGGACTCTGCCCATCATTCCTATAGACATATTCCTCGCCGAAGAGATCCAGCGTCCACTCTCCCGCCGGCCACGTCGGATGCTCGAAGAGGTTCTCGTCGGTCGTCACGCCTTGGTCGTCTTGGTGAAAGTCGTTGAGTAGAGAGGTACATAGGCTGTCGGGTTCCTGGTTGTCGTCGTCGCGGCGGTAGAAGAAGTATCGGTTCTGGTATTTGAATTTGCAGCTGTCATGTGGGGGGAAATCAGGGTTAGAGATGACGCTGGAGCATTCTGGGGTCGTGGTTTGTTCGAGGCCGACGGTGAAGGTGCGCTTTTGGGGTTGAGGGGATGGGCTGGGCGACTAGTTGTTGGAGACGCTGTCGTGGGCTGCTTTGTCGGCGCCGTTCCAGATCTGTTCGGACTGTCAGCTTCCTTACTAACTTCGGATTCTGTTGCCGTCGTTCTTACCATGTTGACTTGCTTGTCGGGATCTTTGGCACGCTCCCAGCTCGACTCAGGTGTGGTTATCCATCTCTTGATTTCTTTCACTCGGTCGGGTCCTTGCTTGCTCTGGTCCCAGGATTCGTAGTTCATGTGTGTAGCAATAATGCCTGCCACCGCCGGTGCAGCTAACGACGTACCCGAATCCTGCGTTGCTGCACCGTCATATTGATCGTGGACGTCGACATCCACTCCAACACCGTAGATGGTCAGCTGTGTGCGCTTCTCTGGATCTTGCTGGGTACCCAGGCCTTGCGAGAAAGGTGCAGCTTTGCCTGCAAGCGTGGCAGCCCCGACGTTGATAATGGGAAAGTCATCTGTCTCCAAGACCTGGGGGAAATGGTCGATGACTTTTCGGCCTTCAGTTTCGGCTTCATTACCCGAAGCGAGCACCACGGGGACCCCGTAACTGAATACCTGCTTTATCCAGCGAATCTGTTGCTTTGCTCTGTAATCGTTCTCTGCTTCTTCTCGTGTGTAGCCCTTGTAACCATTGTCTCCGACGGCGCGTTCTGTGCCGCTGCTCATAACGACAACCTGAAAGTCCCGTGACGTTAGTATACTCCATAAGCTTGGTCCAGAACAGTAAACATGCGTCGATGGCGTCGGTTGTTGGTCGCACTTACAGCTTGAAACCCAGGTATTTTCCTGCGCCGTCTGATTACATCTGCAACAATCCTTTCGAACCCGTTGTGAATGTCGTCTCCGCCCGGTTTGACCTGCACCGGCACCAGTGTCGCTCCCTTTGCGGTTCCCCACTGCCCAACGATTTTGGACGCTACTTTCGTTCCGTGGCCTTTAGGGGAATGGTCGTATCGAATGTTGTGCGCATCATTTTGGTTGGTGAAAGCTCTTGTTTCTACGATACCGCTATTGTCCTGTTCGTTGTCGAATCCTGGAAACACTTTTTCGCCGGTTTCCTGAAGTCGGGTTAGAGCGATGTCACCGACGTATGTGAGGTAAGTCACTACCTTTTTGACATCTACCTGTACTCCATGATCCAAAACATACACATGTACTCCCTCTCCAGCTCTCTTCTCGTAAACGTAGTCCTTGCTGTTTGTAACAGGTTAGTTTCGGCCTTTTAGGGCTTCGAGTACCTTAGTAGGTAGTTACAAGTCGTCCAAATTGCTTCCCCTTGGATTGATATGTTAGCCCAGTCAAGATACAGCATTCAGACCTTTGCTTACTCATAACAGCTGACTTGGACCAAGTCCCGCGCTGCACCCTCCTGCTTCTGCCAATCTCCCCATTCGAATTTCCGAGCTTCCAAGGTTCCCGTGGTCTTGATACTCATTCTGGGGACAGCACTCATCTCTACTTCGTGGTATTGACTCGGATCCTCGACATGCTCCACCCATTCCTTCTTGGCCACCACCTCGTCGTACCCTGACTGGTCTAGTATAACGCCTCCCCACGCGTAAACTACTTCGTAATTGTCAAGCTCAGCGTCGAGCCTGCCCTCGTCATACAATTTATCGAGTTCGTCTTCTGGTATGTCTTCGGGCTCATCCCAGGGAAACCTCTTGTCCTCGCGCATCTTAGACTTGTCCTTGGTCAAACCTTCAAGCCAAACCCGAGTTTCGTTGACTTGGGCCTCGTTCCTGATGTCGGCTGCGTAGACGGTATATGTCTTTGTCGGAAGTGCATGTGCGTTCATGTCCGAAGTGTGTAGGTTAGCTTCAATTGCCTCTATCCTGCAGAGGTAAAGGTACGAAGTTAGCATATGTCTCCCATGCACTTTGTACAGCCATGACTTACCATTCCGTTTTGGCTGCGACCTTCTCGTATCCAGCCTGGTCCAAGACCACGCCTGACCAGCAACGCACCACTTCGTAATTGTCGAACTCCTCTTCTAACCTGCCTTCATCGGCCAGCCTGTCCCACTACAGAGGGAAAACCTGAAGTCAGCATTCATATCCCATGTGTTTCGTATATCCACAGCTCACCTCTTCTCTGGGGAAATCTTCGTAGGTGTCCCAGGTCCATCCCAGCTGGTCACGCATCCTGTCTTTGTCTTTGACAAGGCTCTTGAGCCAAGTGCGCGTCTCATTGACCTGGGCTTCGTTGTGGACGTCGCTTGCCCAGACCGTGTAAACTCGGGTCTCAGACGAAGCATCTCGCTGCACTTCAACGGTGGTAGATCCAAGTGGGACGTCTCTCGGCTCGGAAGTCGCAGCTTGTTGATCGACTGGCGGGGTTACATCCTTCTGCGATGCTTCTTCGCTCTTGACTGGCTCCAGGGATTCTGCGGCGTTACGGTTAGCAGATAACATCGACGACGTCAGCCGAGCGAAAAGAAGCACTGCTAAGTGGAGCCTCATGGCTGTGATAAGGAGTTTGAAGAGCGTCAGAGATGACTATGAATCAGCTAAGCAATAGGATGAAGAACGAGACAGCCTCGAACGAAGATGTTGAGATCCAAACTGGCTTCCGAATGCATCCCCTTATACCTAACGTCTTTCTCAATACGTATACTCATCCGCGCGTGTCTTCGGAGGCACTCAAAATGAGACCGCCCCCTCTTTCGCACAGAAACAAGACTGCGTAATCTGACACGCGTCAAGGAATAACCTCGACTCGAACCCGAAGGCACAGTCACCCAAGGTGATGGAGGCGTAGCATGCCGGGGCGGTTTTGTCCTGGATACAGGAACGACATAATCCGATCCAAGTAAGGTGCAGACTCAAGTCAATCCCAAAGGCGCAGTCACCCAAACTGATGGCGGCGTAGCCCGGTGGGATGGAGTCGTTCTGAGCGCATGCGTAATAGGGTCCAAGTAAAGCACAGACTGGGCTCAACACCAGCGGCAGAGTGACCCAAGCTGACAGCGGCGTAGCACCTCTCGGTGCGCAACCACAATCCAGGCCCCCACCGCGACGAAGATTGTAGCAGACAAATGCACCTCCGGAAAACGACAAAAGAAAGACGTACCATTCCGTTTCTTCTCCATCTTCACGTCCAATGATAATGCCAATCGATATGTAAGCGCAACTCACTCCGATGCGTACTCTGCAGAAATCGACGATCTCGTTGTCGAAGAGGAAGACGGAAGATCCAGGTTGTGGAATGGGGCGGTTGCAGGAAGCAGGAAGAAACACCATTTCGAAACGCTATTGGAAGTGAGTGCCCAGGTGGCACGGCATGCATCATGTGATGTTCAAATTAGCAGTCGCGTTCGCGAACCGACGTCATCTGACAGCGGGGCACAATCCTGGAGGGCAACAGCGACCTCGACGTTTTGGTATCCGCAAGTTTGGATTTCACGCAAGAGAGGATGCGCTTTTGACTTAGAATCGGACCTGACCTGGTTCGGGCTGGCTATTGAAGTTGTACCTTGGTATACGGGATGATTGCGATTGACTTTGTAGGCGGTCTGTTGACCATCACCATTTAAAACAAGTTTGAAGACTTAGCTATCGCGTCTGACACTTTCCAACGCCGCCCAATGCCATATCTTACAAGCTCTTCACCTCACCACACTGACGCACCTTACAACCCCTCAACACTCACCCCCTGCGCCACACCCCTATACTTCTCCTTCCTCGCCTCAATCTCCTCCTTCATCCTCGCTTGTCTCTCTTCCTTACCCACACCCCTCACATACTGTAACAACCTCAACGCGCCCGTCGGCGTAACACCCTCAACGCGTCTCGCCATGCCCACGCTCTCCGGCCGCGCTACCTCCAGCGCTCTCTTCTCCTCGAAGCTAAGCCCAAAGATGGATTCGTAATCAAGGTCAATTGGTAACTTGAGGTTCTCGTCTTTCAGCCACCGGGCTTGTGTGGCGGTTTGGGAAGCGACGTAGGGGGCGTAGGTGGCTTCGATGTGGACGCGGTCTTGGATGCGTTGTGAGAAGCCTTTGATTTCGGGGAGGAGGGAGGCGAGGCTGGATGGGGTGGTATTAGGGAGGCGGAGGAGGTCGTATGCGGAGCGTTTTGTGCTGTCGTTTCGTACAGGGAAACCGGCTTTGTTCCAGTCTGTCCAGCCCATGGTTTTGGATTGGAGGATTTGGGCTAGAGCGGCCATTTGCTCACCCTCATCTTCGAAGGCTTTCCATCGTAGATCGCTAACTACGCCGGCGACCCGGCCCATGGCTGTGAGACGTGTGTCGGCGTTGTCGGCGCGCGCAGACATCCGGTATTCGGAGCGAGAGGTGAACATGCGGTAGGGTTCTGAGACACCCTTGGTGATGAGATCGTCGATCATGATACCGATGTATCCATCCGCTCTCGTCAGGATCATGGCTTCTTTCCCTAGACTCTTCAAGCCGGCATTGATGCCAGCGATGACACCCTGGCCCGCTGCTTCTTCGTAGCCAGTTGTTCCGTTGATCTGGCCCGCCAGGAAGAGTCCAGAGATGTTCTTTGTCTCAAGCGTAGAGCGAAGATGCCGTGGGTCGACGTAGTCGTATTCTACGCCATAGCCAGGTTGCAGCATCTTCACGTTCTCAAGGCCCTTGATAGTCTTGAGCATAGTGTTCTGTACGTCCGCGGGCACTGTGCAAGAGATTCCGTTCGGGTATATTATGTCGCTATCGAAACCTTCCGGCTCCAGCCAGACGATATGTGAAGTCTTGTCTGCGAAGCGTATCACTTTCGATTCTAGTGATGGGCAATATCGCGGCCCTTTGACGGTTTCGCGGATGTGTATTGATTTGTCGAGGTTATTTCGTATTACGTCGTGCGTTGCTTCGTTCGTTCGTGTCTCGTGATTAAGTAATTGGTCCTCGACCTGAACGCGCTCGTTCATGTAGCTAAAAGGCATAGGTGGATTATCACCCTCCTGCGCTTCCAAAACTTTGTAGTCGATCGTCTTTCCGTCTAGCCTTGGTGGTGTTCCCGTCTTCAACCTTCCCATCGTGAATCCGGCATCCTTCAAACTTTTGCTCAGTCCAAAGGTCGCAGCTTCGCCCATACGCCCGGATGGGAACGACTCAAGACCAATATGTATTTCTCCACCGAGGAAGGTGCCAGTTGTGATGACCACATTTCCTGTGGGTATTATCTCCCCACTCTCCAACCTTACACCAGTAATCTTTCCATATTGGCCTTTCGATCCCTCCTCTTGTGTCCTGTCCACGATGATATCCGCCACGCTACCTTCCACAACGCTCAACCCCTTGTATGCCAGCATTTCATCCTTCATATATATCTTGTACAACGCTCTGTCGATCTGCGCTCTGGGTCCCCACACAGCAGGTCCCTTCTTCCTGTTCAGCACCCTGAACTGCACACCCGCCTTATCCACAATGCGACCCACGACACCATCCAGCGCATCGATTTCGCGAAGCATAGTGCCTTTTCCGATACCACCGAAGGAAGGATTACACGAGCAGACACCGAGGTTGTGGACTGAGGGCGTTATGAGGGCCGTTCGGGCGCCGGAGCGGGCTGCTGCTGCGGAGGCTTCGCAGCCTGCGTGGCCGCCGCCAATGACTATTACATCGTATGGCCTACATAAGAGTCAGTGTTGGTTAATTGGTGGGGTCTGATAGTAGAGTGGCGTACCGGTCTGCGCCAGACACCGTCGCGAATGTGCGTGGGCGACGACTGAAGCGATTGACCGACCGTACCCGAGGCGCGTGGCCCCAGAGCTGACGCGCTGGTAACGGCACGACTCTGTGCATTATGTGAAGGGCTGTGTTGGAGTCCGGATGTCGCGCCACAAAAAGTTGGGATGGGCCAACTCGGAGGTCTTCGTTCGCCGCATCACGTCCGTGCGCAAGTGGGTAGTCTGACGAGATGCAATAGGTATACCAAGCTGCTCAACTAATGAGTGCGTAGTTTGGCTGTTTGCTGCTAGGAATTCGCCCGTAATTGCGTTGTTAGTGGCTGTATCGTTCATGCATCATGAAGAAAAAGGTATCATTCCGTAAAATTCCAAGCCACGCCACTCCCAGAGTAGAGATCTTACAAAGTGAATTGTGAGCCCATAGTCGTACATTGAATATCGTAAAGAGAAACTCCACAAGAAGATCCTACAGCGCCGCGCAAAGACGTGTCTCGTCGAAACTTCTCTACCCCGCGACCAACACTTGCCACTCGAACTGTTGTAGAATCTGCCGCCACAGGATATTATGTTCGAAGCAAGATGGATGAACAAGCAAAACTGCCCGTCTAACCAGAAGCTTCCTGAACAAGGCCCTCGTCGTTATTCTCCGTGTCCTCAGTACGAGCACGAGACAAGACGTCAAAGTTGCCTACACAAACAAATTAGCATGACCTCTCTCATCCATCCGCAATCGAAAACATACGTGCGACCAAGCTCAAATTGCTCTTCTTGTTGCCCTCGCTGTCAAGGTACGTCTCCATGCGCGCATCCGCATCAACATAAAGCATCGAACCCTTGGGCACGTTCATCAAGAAATCCTTCTGCGCGCCCTGCACGAAACTCGCAATCCGGAACCAGCTGGTCTTCTTGTCCTCGCCCTTGCCGTAGCTCGTTCCTACTACGTAGCGCACGAGTGTCCTGTCGCCGGAGACGGTGACTTCTTCTGGCGCAACTCCGAGACGGCCGATGACGGTCATGCGCGCGACCTGCGAGGGGCGTGTGGACGAGAAGCTGCGTGCGAAGGTCGAGGTGGGTGCGCGGGCCGCAGCGCGGAAGGTGGAGGAGAACATCGTCGCGGTGGTTTGGGGCGCGGAATTGGTGGGTTGCAGAGGGAGTGGCGGTCGAATTGGCGGTTGTGGGCTGGAGGTTGTCGTGATGCGAGGCGAGTGGGGTTGTTTGCGTTTGCTTATGGGGCGCGACGCGGCTACGCTAGTGTAGCCCTGCCTGGGTAGCTTCGAAGGTACCAAGGTCGGATGATAAGGGGCGCTGACACGTGCGCCCATGGTGCCCAAGTCTTCATCCGCATCTGGTGTATTAGGAGTTTTACCCGTGATCATTGTATGGATTGATAGGTAGCTTGACTAATCCATAGTCTCTGTGCTATTGGGTATATTTCGCTACGATACAAACATCCCTTGTAGGGATCCCAAGTCGGTATTCAGCCCCGGCTCGACTATCGCTTTGCCTTCTTCTTCTCCCTCTCGTCCTCCTCACTGTCGTAGTCCTTGTAGATTCCAACGGGTTGAGTCTTCTCCCACGCGCCGGTAAATACAGCCTTCTCTCCCTCTTTCAGCGCATACTTGAGCAGCGCCTCTCTAGGATCCTCGTCCCTCATATCGCTGCCTTCAATTTGTTCCATGACGTACTTCTGATCGGGCGTTGACTTGGCAAAAGGTGTTGTAGCTGGGATATGCGGTCTCCGTGGGTCGCGGCTCTTACCCGAGGCTGTGAGGCCGATGGTGGGATGGCGTGCGGAGAATGAGGCTGCATTGCCAGAAGGATCATGTGCTTCACCAGCCATACCGAGCGGGTCCATGTCTACGGTGAGGGATGGGTCGTCATCGAGGTGTCGCTTCTTGGGTGCCTTGCTGAGGATGGTAAGAGCACCGGCGTTGGACAGCTTGGGGTTGAACAGGATCGTTGTTTGACCGTTGGCTGAACCTGTGAGGATTTGGTTGAGCCTGGGATGCCAGTTGACCGTTATCAGAGGAGAGCCTGGCGTGACTGGTGTGACCAGCTCCGGGCGAAGTGTGGCTGGGTTGAGGATGTGGAGGTGCCCGGTCTCTGATCCTGTGACTATACTCTGAGAATTAGGCGCAAACTTGATATTCGATGTGGGGTATTGTGAAGACGTTGACGGATGCGACGTGGTATTAAGAGGCGTCTTGAACTTTCTTGTGTCCCACAACTTGATGGTGTCGTCCCCTCCTCTTGTGATCACCAACCTGCCATCTGCACTGATATCCAGTCCGCTCGTCCATGTGTCTTTCGCGTGCGCTTCCTTGATTTCTGCTGTCGGCCTGTGGTAGGGTCCTTCACCACCCCACATGACGAGACTTCCGTCTAGTGCTGCTGACACCAGCATACTGCTTCCTCCCTCGGCTGCGGCGCCCCATGCAATGGCCGTCATCCTTGTCATGCCCGCGCTACCAGCAGCTCTTGACTTGTGTACGATGACCTCCTCCTGCTTCATCCTTTTATTCACGTCCCATATCCGCACTGTACTGTCTGTGCCTGCTGTAGCGAAGCGGTCGCGATTCGTGGGGTGCCATGCGCCGCTCGTGATTTCTGCCGTGTGTCCTTTTGTGTTGTGCTTGTCCCTCAGGTACATGTCGCCCTTGACAAACTCTGATATAAGCTCTCCATCCCTGCTGAACAGCCTCGCCTGTGATGTTGCAGTAATGCACAGGAATTGGCCTCCAGAGTGTGGGCCAAACACAACCTGGTGTATCGAATGCGACTCGGCGGTTTGCGAGGGTTTGGTGGTGAAAGGATCGACCGTTTTGAATGCGCGGATAGTACTCGGGGTAAGTGCACTAAGGTCGTGCAGCTTGAGTGTGCAGTCGTTCCCTCCAGTTACTAGCCGCGTACCGGATGCATCGAGCGCAATCGTCGTGACCGCGCGATCGTGCGTTTTGATGACCAGTTCGTGAGAGACTGGGTATTCATCCTCCTCATCGCTCATGTCGCTGTCATCGTCGTCCGAATCCTGTTCGTCGTCCGACCCTTTCTCCTTCTTCGCCTGCTTGCTCTCATCAACCACTGGCCTACGCGCGCGCTCGATTTGCGCCTCGACGTTCACGGAGCCATCCTTCTTTCCGAATTCGCTGGGCAAGTATTGCTTGAGAGCCTGTTCGTCGTCTGCAGAGAATTCCATGATCGTGCTGTGTAGATAGCCCGCTGGTTTGGGCTAGGGTTGGCGTCGACGTTCGGTCGCAAGAAAGTTCGAGGTGGAGGCTGCAGTATGACGCGCCGCGCTAGCACAGGCGACCGAGGTTTCGGGACACCTTCACTCATTACCATCCTTCATGTCTACATCTCACTAATAGCTACCAAACCATCGTCAAAGTCGTTTGCCCTTGCCAATGCCCTCCTATTTTACATTCCAAGGTTGAATCGTGCAGACTTCTCTTCCTCTTCACCACGTTCGCTCGTCTTACAAACCACAGCCACCGAGCATTCGCGTTCGACGAAGCAATGTGACCATCGAACGACTGGCAATATGCCGGGACAAGTTCAATTTAACCGGCAAACACCATGTTCCTTAACTCAAGATCTTGGTCGCGTGACCTTGTATACTAATCTCACTGCCCGAGCTTTCCGGCACCTTCATACTATCACACCCGCAGCAGCTCAAAAGTGGCGGCATCGTCATGCGCCAAGCAGTCCGCCTTGCTTCAGCCACAGAGTATAGCTTGGACAAGTATCAAATTGTTCGATGCCAAGAGTTCCGCTGCGAATTCAACTGCCAAGTTCCGAGTTGGGATTCTAGATTCCGGTTTGCCGTACGCCTGCACCACTCAGAGCGTCGCAAACTCCGATGGTCCTTGTCCGACGTCATGCGCACATTCAACACCATCAACCCTACTTGGCAACGCCACACGTCCTTGTACCCTCAGCCTCAACACGTAATTCTGACTCCTCGGAGCCATCGTCTCGCTTGGCAAGCATCTCTCAAGTAGCATATAAGTAGCTTGCTACCCCGCCAGCTCCGCAGGATGTACCTCATCGAATACATACACCGTTCAATACAGATAACACAGATCCTACGCGAACGATACTTACCATGCCTCACCACCACCCCGGAACCTGGGCCAGCAAGAGCGACATCGACCCCACCAACCTCCCTTGGGCAATCACAGCTCATCTCCTCGCCATCAACCACGAACAATTGCTCCGCGTTACAAGACATCCCTTCCTCGAGCGTGCCGCAAAGGGTACCCTACCAAAGCCTCTGATTGCACAATGGCTCGCAAACGACAGGCAGTACCTTCAAGGTTATCTTGCTACTATCAACCACACCCTCAACCTCATCCGCAGTACGCACAAGTCAACGACTGCACCTGGTGAGGAGCCAGACATTCCCACGCGATTCATTGCGTGGTTAGAATCCGCTATCAAGAATGGAGAGAGGGAGCTGCGGTTCTTCCAAGAAGTTGCTGAGATCTACAAGATCGATCTTCCTCCGTCACCACTCCAGGAGAACGTCAAATCCGAAGGTCTCCGTCGCTATGAAGCACTGTTCGCTAGTGTTGCTTCCCAACAACCAAACACATTCATGCCGTGGCTCGAAGGCGCCATTCTACTGTGGTCGACCGAGAAGGTATACTACGAGGCCTGGTCCTGGGCCCGCCGACAAGATGCCCAGTCTTCTCCTCGGAACTACGACAACGACCAAGACGGCGGTGCGATGCGCAGAGAATTTATCCCCAATTGGTCAAATCGCGACTTCCTCATGTTCGTCGAGCAGCTTGAGCGCATTGTCAACGAGGGTGTAAGCGACGCGGTTGACCGAGATGATGCAAGATGGGCAGAGGTCAAGAGCAGGATCGATCCTATTTGGAGAGCCTTGTTGGACGCTGAAGAGGAGTTCTGGCCAAATGTACCCAGTGGAGCGGGCAGTCTGGTCGAGCCTGGTGTTAGGCGCGGTGTCGATGGCAAGATGGACGGCACCACATTGCGCAGTACAGGAGATGACGAGATCTTGAACGAGAGACAGGGCGTCCGCAGTGGAGATATCACCACTTTGCACAGCAACGAGCACGGACAGGTAGTGAACTAGATTGATCAGAGTTGGAAGTAGATTACTGCGCAGAAAGAGCGCATTGTAGTTGCAGGCGGTGTATGATACACACTTGATTTTCAATAAATCCATAATAATATCGCAGCATGTTGTACATCTCACTTGTTTGTAGTCCGCCATAACGAAATCGCTCCTGAATATAGTTGTCTAGCGAACATCTGATGCGTGTTAGACAACGGTCCGACAAAGATCCGGCGTGGTGGTCCAAGCGTTCTTTAGCGCCCAATAGCGTCCAATAGCTTGAGCGGCGCGAAAATACTGTCTGCTGTGAAAAAGTTCGAGAACATCGCATCGCCAATTGCAACACCAACCCTCGACACAATAATCGCCATGGCTCTCGTGCAGACCGACCCCGACGCGTATGTGATCAAGCCAGCGGCGGCTGCGCCTGCCATCGACACGAGCGACTGGCCGCTCCTGCTCAAAAACTACAGCGACCGTATGCTGCAGCTTCCCCATAGCTCCAGAATGCTTTGCTAATGCGCGTACAGTGCTCGTTCGCACATCGCACTACACTCCCATCCCAAATGGATGCACACCGCTGTCGCGAGACCTCAAGTCTTACATTAGCTCTGGTGTCATCAACCTCGACAAGCCTTCCAACCCATCCTCTCACGAAGTCGTGTCATGGATCAAGCGCATGCTGAGGTAGGAAGCACTCGTGACTTTTCTTTCCAAGCGCTTTCAGCTAACGCGTGCCAAAGAGTCGAGAAGACTGGTCACAGTGGTACCCTCGACCCCAAGGTCACTGGTTGCCTCATCGTCTGCATTGATCGCGCTACCCGTCTCGTCAAGTCCCAGCAGGGAGCCGGAAAGGAGTATGTCTGCGTCATTCGCATGCACGACAAGCTCCCTGGAGGCGAGGCGCAATTTGCGCGTGCCCTTGAGACGCTCACCGGAGCTCTCTTCCAGCGCCCCCCGCTCATTTCCGCCGTCAAGCGTCAACTCCGTATCCGAACCATCCACGAGAGCAAGCTATACGAGTTTGACAACGAGAGGCAGCTCGGTGTCTTCTGGGTCAGCTGCGAGGCTGGAACCTACATCCGTACTCTTTGCGTGCATCTTGGTCTTTTGCTCGGTGTTGGCGCCCACATGCAGGAGCTCCGCCGTGTCAGGAGTGGAGCCATGGACGAGACCAAGGACTTGGTCACTCTGCACGACGTTCTCGATGCCCAATGGCTACACGACAACAACCGCGACGAGGCTTATCTGCGCAAGGTCATCGCACCTTTGGAGAGTCTGTTGATGAGCTACAAGCGTATCGTGGTCAAGGACAGCTCTGTCAACGCTATCTGCTACGGTGCCAAGCTCATGCTTCCCGGTCTCCTGCGATTCGAGAAGGGCATTGAGATCCACGAGGAGATCGTCCTCATGACCACCAAGGGTGAGGCTATCGCGCTCGCCTACGCGCAAATGTCGGCTGTCGAGATGTCATCGTGCGACCACGGTGTTGTTGCGAAGATCAAGCGTGTCATCATGGAGCGCGACCTTTACCCCAGGAGGTGGGGCATGGGCCCAGTCGCCACCGAGAAGAAGAAGATGAAGGAGGCTGGCACTCTGGACGTAGGTGATCAACTTCAGATTTGCGAGTGCTATACTGACATGTTCAGAAATTCGGTCGTCCCAATGACAAGACTCCTTCCAAGTGGAACGCTGAGTACAAGGACTTCAACAGGAACGACGTCGACGGCGCCTCTGCTCCCCTTGCTCAGACAACTTCGACCTCTGAGGTCCTCGCCGCTCCTGCGATCCCAGCGACGGGTCTTACCTCTACTGAAGAGGCCGAGGCGGAAGCTGAGACCGACAAGAAGAGCAAGAAGCGCAAGAGCCGTGGTGACGGTGACGATGAGGCTGATGAGGACAAGGCCGAGCGAAAGCGCAAGAAGAAGGAAGAGAAGGCTGCGAAGAAGGCCGAAAAGGCCGCCAAGAAGGACAAGAAGAAGAGCAAGGGTGATTCTGACAGCGACTCCGACTAAACGATCAGTTATGAACGATGGACGTCCGAACCAAAAAGCGACAGCGCGCATCGCTGTTGCCTGTACAAGCGCTGTACACCAGAACCGTGTACATGTCATAGTTACTACTACTCTATCCTTGGATACCAGCTTCTTTAATGTAGCATACCGGAAAAATGGCGTTAGGGATCATGGGCATGCTGGCGTTTTATGGCGCGTCGAAGCTTTCTGCGACAAAGGTGGTCGATTGCGTGTTGAAGTGCGACATAGCGTATCGCTAGACATGTTCAATTCACTGTTTAAATTTCACACTCCTGATCTTTTCATGTGGTTATCATTGATGCGCAGTGCTTCTCGCAGCTGTACTGATGACTTATGTGAGCCATTGACACCAGTCTCAGATTAGGCATCTAACCTCCATGTGCACGCCAACAGGTCAAGGTAGTGTACTTGATGATATGTCTTGCGTTTAAACTAGAAACGTGCTTAGGTAGTTGCTGGCTAGCCAGTGGATTCAAAGAACTTCGCCGGCGTGCTTGAGCTGGCGCTGGATCATTCCATCGTGAAGTAGCTACTGGAAAACAACAAGCTGTCAGTTGAGATAGGAAGCTCGCAACGCAATGACGCGTTCGGCATATCCGGAACCGTAAATCATACAAAATTAACGCATAGCGACTTCATTTCAGCTGCGAGGCTGCACGTGTTGAAGTGAAGCTTCTTAGACTGCAAGAGCGGGGCGCGTCAAGGAAGACCACGAGGAACGGCAAGCGCGCGTCGTCAGGTGGAGCGCGCCAGCTCATTGCTAGATACGTCGATTCGATACGATCCCTGTGCGACGAATTCAGGTTTCTAATTTTGATCCTAAGCGCATGATACACGGCATCAGAGTTTGTGATGGTCGGGATATGGCATTGTGGTTGAAGCTTCTCGAACCTTCCCTGTGTTCGCTCCGCGTCAGGGCTCGACGTCACCGCTAGCGTCGTTTGACGAGTGGAGAGACATCCAGAGCTCGAGTGATAAATGCGACCCAACCTCATAAGCTGCCCCCAAAGAAGCTTACAAACACTACTTGCGCATACACGAGATACCCTTCTTTTCTGATTACAGGACTTCAAAATGGTCAAGGAGTCCAAGCTCTACGATTCATTAGGTACGTTTGCCTCGGATGTGCCCCTCCACCGCCTTGCCCTGCCAGGACGCGGCATGCCAGGGCCCGGGGTGGTCGAGGTCTCGGGTAGGTACATGGACTATTGCTGACTGAGTTCTAGGCATATCAGAAACCGCGACGCAAGATGAGATCAAGAAGGCATACCGCAAGGCGGCGCTGAAGTGGCACCCCGACAAGAACAAGGACAACCCGCAAGCTGCTGAGAAGTTCAAAGGTATGTTCATTGCCTCACTAGCCCATATAGACTGGATATAGTATGCTAACAGCACGTCTAGAATGCTCACAAGCCTACGAGATCCTCTCCGACCCCGAGAAGCGCAAAACGTACGATCAATACGGGCTCGAATTCATACTACGCGGCGGCGTACCACACCCTGAAGATGCTGGAGGTGCGGGTGGTAACCCATTTGCGGGTGCAGGAGGCGGTGGGGGCTTCCCCTTCGCATCATCGGGTGGCATGCCCGGCGGCACACGCTCGTTCCACTTCTCGACGGGCGGCGGCGGCGGAAACGGCTTCAACTTCTCCAACGCCGACGACATCTTTGGCGAGTTCATGCGCAACAGCGGCGCCGGGGGTGATGACTTTGACTTTGGCGGCTTTGGCATGGGCGGTATGCCCGGCGGAATGGGCGGTGGTATGGGCGGTGGCGGCGGTGGAGGTGGAAAAGGCGGCCGATTCCGCGGCGGACGACGAGCACCAGAGCCTGAAGTCACAGTCGTGGAGAAGCCGCTTGCGGTGAGCTTGGAAGAGCTGTACAACGGCACTACGAAGAAGCTCAAGATCAAGCGCAAGACATATGACCAGAGTACCGGCAAGCAAAGCACGCAAGACCGGATTCTGGAGGTACCCATCAAGAAGGGGCTGAAGGCTGGCAGCAAGATCAAGTTCTCAGACGTCGGCGATCAGGTGGAGGGCGGAACACAAGATCTGCACTTCATCGTCTCTGAGGTAAGTCTTTCCATTCCCCGGTCACGCAAAAATCGATACTAACGACAGCACAGAAACCCCACGCAATGTTCACCCGCGAAGGCGACGACGTCAAACACACGATCGAAATCGACCTCAAAGAAGCCCTCACCGGCTGGCGCCGAACCGTCCAAACCATCGACGGCAAACAACTCAGCGTCGGCAGTGGCGGTCCCACCGGTCCCACCTGGACAGAACGATACCCCAACCTCGGCATGCCCAAGTCCAAGAAACCCTCAGATCGCGGCGACTTCATCGTCGGCGTAAAGATCAAGTTCCCTACGAGCTTGACAAGCGCACAAAAGGAAAAGCTGAAGGAGATACTATAGTTGGACTGAGAGGAGGAAGGAATACCTGCTCTGCGCATCAAAAGTATGGGCGTGGTATGGTGACGGGACGAACTCTGATTCTCGTATATCATTTGCATTTCTTTATCTTATTTTACGCCTATATATGCTCGACATGAGCCACACGAAGGCGTCGGTGGAGTTCTGATATGTTTATTGCTGTTTGGAAGGGGGTGAGGAAATGGAAGGCCAGCACGTGGCTTTCTTCATCAAATCCGTCTTTGGCAGCTAAAAGCGCGATGAAAGTGGATTGCGGACCAGCCGTACTTTCCTCAACCGTGTCCGCGGATTCACTTACCAAATCCTGGGTATTCATCGCGATAAGGGATCAAAAGTCAAGAGCTGTGTCGAATGATGAAAGACTGCAGAGGTAATTTAAAGGGCGCACATCCCATCGCGCTCAGGAGGATAGCAGCCAGGAGGCCGCCAAGAGGCGGGGCAGCATGCATCCTCGCGGCACGGGCGATGATGCACTCCTGTGGCACATACTGATTGCAGGCACCGATACCGGTGACCGCGTCGGGAGCTATTGCTTGCATTCGCCGATTGAACGATGGAGGTCTCGAGAATTGAATGGTGACGGTAGGATGGATGAGAACCTTGGAAGGGAACGCGGTAGCTGTACGCGCTAAAACGCGCCAGCCAGCCATCGCTCTTTCCGTCACCGAGGAAGGAGCGTTCGCAGTCTTAAACAAGTCCATCATCACACATAGGCAAATCGATTCTCGCACAGTATACTAATTCATTGATTCGTCTATCGTAGACGCGTTACTTCATATATGTCATCCCCAATCATCTTTACCAGCATTCCACCCACGACCTTTGCGGAACAAGATACCTGTTCACTACGAGGGAAAGTTGGGTTCAAGAGATGGATAGCTGGGGCCTCAGTGGGATAGGGAGAACGATCTCAAGCCTTCAACTCGGGGCAGCAGCTGCTTGCCAAAGTTGCAAAATTGTACTCGACGCTCTCATCTCCTATAGCAACGGACGGTTTCCAATCGAAAACATCACAGGGATCACAGTAATATCAGCGGACCGTCCAATAAGTATCTTCTACCAGCAAGCCTCAGACGTAATAAGTGCACGTCTTGAGTTGTTTCGTTTAAAAGGTAAGTCTTGTATGATACTGAATATCGCGTTTCCATCGATAGTAAGAAAACTAAGGGGGCACGAAGTGAGTTTGTGGTGTCTGACACGCATGCAGGCCAAGAAGTACATATCACGCACAATGTCACGCAGAAGGAATTACCCGTACATACGAGAACACTTCCCTCAGAAGACACATCTTCAGACCGAGCTCTTCAGACACTGTACAGCTGGATCGAAACCTGCGTTGAGCATCATGGAGCTTGTGGTGGACGGAAGATCGTCCAACTCCCGAAACGTATAATTGAAATAGATGGCAAGCATGTTTACCTTCGAGAACGCTTGAGTAAGCCAGCGATATACGCCTGTCTGAGTCATTGCTGGGGCTCATCAGGTCCTACCATCAGACTGGATAAGACATCGCACAGTCGCCTAATAGATGGCATAGTAATTGACCAGCTACCAAAAACCTTTTCAGAAGCGGTTCACTTGTGCGCACGGCTTAACATACGCTTCATCTGGATTGACGCCTGCTGTAAGCCTCTCCTTTCTGTAGATGTAGTTTGGGTAACTAAAACTCATATATATATAGGTATTATGCAGGACGATAAAGATGACTGGGAGGAAACAGCTGCGACGATGGCAAATATATATCAGCAAGCTCATCTTACCATTGCAGCTACATGGGCTACCAACAGTGACTTTGGACTGTTCGCACCAGACCGTGAAAGATACAAGGCCCGCAAATTGAGAGATTGCGAGCTCTACGTATGGGAAGAACGAACCGAGTTCCCTCGCCCTTACATACAAAACAATCCAGATGAGTTCCCTGAATCGACCCCTACTTTCAGGGATTTCCCGCTCCTGACTAGAGCTTGGGTGTATCAAGAGCGAATGCTATCGCCACGAATGGTCCATTTTTGCAGAGATCAGGTGAGCCATTAGTGTTTCTTTTTCTCAAAACTCATGGTCTACTGGTCGCGAAACAGAATCGGTATAGTTTCAGTACGAAACTGCACGTAACCCGTAAGATGGGTTGTGGTTCACCTTTAGGAAGTACTCATTGGATCTCTAATGCTTTCCTTAGATCTATTGGCAATGCCCCACCATGTTCATCGCAGAAGACGGATTGAGCTACGATGAGATCTATCCACGCGATACCAAAAGCTTTACGTTTTATGGACTCATGGACGATCCAGTCATCCGCTGGCATGAGATCGTAACCGCGTATTCGGGCTTGGATCTGACGTACAAGAGCGATCGATTACCGGCAATTGCTGCCATTGTTGAACGAGAAATGCGGTTGCGAATACAAGACACATACATCGCTGGTATGTGGTTAAGCAGCCTGCTTACTGATCTTGTCTGGCGTACCACGGGAGGTCCATATTCCTGGCTGTCGCGTTCCCCGTCCTCTGTTCCAACATGGGCATGGCCATCATCACCCGCCCAGGTTGGCTGGGAAAGCGGACTGATGTTGCCATCTCTAAGAATAGTTGATTTGACCTTTACCCGCGTTGGGCCCGCTCAGATTGGCGAAGTCGCGAACGCTAGTATCACTCTGGAGGGCCACACCTGTATGACTCGACTGACGCGAATCCATGAGGGAAAATTCGATTACTTCAGGCCTTTCATGGAAATAGTATCTCCTTCATGCGAGAGCGTTGGTTTATTGAAAGAGTGGCAGATGTCAGCTGACTTCGATTGGACTTGTGGTGAACGGCCTGTCACAATTGGAGACACTTTTACAGTTGTACCGATGATCATTCGCCATAAACCCGAGACACGCTATAACCCCGGGCTGACCCATGCTACGGGGCTTATTCTGCGAGAGGTGTCAGACGAAGCTTTCGAAAGAATGGGAGTCATCGACCTCGAAGTAAAGTGTGGGCCGAAAACCTGCGTTGTAGAACGTGAGAGGATACTCAACGATTTCTTCGAAGCTCTACCCATTCGACAGGTCAAGATTATCTGAAGAGCAGATAACGGGCTGTGTGCATGTTTGGGTCGGCGATATTTCTGCGCTTTCGAACTTCGACGACAAAATCTCACCTGAACAAAGGCTGCGCAATACCTTTCTGCAATCATTACAAGCAGACCGTGTCTGGTGATCACGCGCATCTAGAAGCGTACATCTGCCTTCACCTTTGTATCAGAGAGGATATGGATCCTACGCGCTACCGACCTACCGAGCTTCTTTACGAAATGACGGCTTCTTCGACACTCGTTTAAGCTATCGCTACCCGCCGCTCTACTCCTCAGAACCAATATTGGAACCTATGGAAGAGAATTCCTGTCCTCAGAAGTTATTTTTCCCGGCTGGCTGCAAGTGGCGCGACCTTTGGGTATGGTGTCCTCTCACTCATCTTGCAGTTTGGAGCTGAGAACACAAAATGGTAGCTTGGGTGAAGCACATCACTCTGCTTCACTTTCAGTACAGTGTTGCATGTGACGCTCGCATATCTTGCGCACTCGATTAATTCGATGACGGCGTCCAACTTTTTGAGGTCTTGTGCCTTCACCTCGCTGAGTCATCGTTTACTCTCTGTGTAGACAGCGCAACTTCTCACTGCTAACGGCGCCACCGGCGCGACTTTTACCCGCTCGACGCGTTTACTCAACACCTGGGCACATTTTCATTTTCAAACATTCCAGCGAACCTCCACGCTGCACCGCAAGGCAGTCGCAATCATGGAAGCCACCGCAGGACCGCCCTTGGACATGGAGTGAGCCAGCGCGGTTGTTTCTAGTGAGCCCACTAACAAAGCAATGCAGGAAAAAACCGATCTCACTCGACGAGCTCCTCACAAAACTACACCGTAACGACCCTATCTCGCCCTTTATGGTAACGATCATTGCGAAGCACGCGTCGACTCTCGGTGAAAGCATCTGTGCCGACTACCATACTCTGAACGCCATACTTGTCCGACACGAAGCTACGATACAGAAACGTGGCTCAAAAGGTCTCCTAATCAACGCCGAGATATCTTACTTGAAGCATGGCCCAACATGGCAGAAGTGCATCGCCCAGACTATTTTCACATTCTCGACGAGGGGACTCAGGATCCAAAGAGCGTCAAAGAGGCCTTGATTGTACAGGACAAGCCATTTCTGCCTTCAGAAGCTAAGATGTGGCCCTTCATAAATTTGGAAGATTTATCGAAGCCAAAGTGTCTGCTGATCTTTCTCAATGCTCGTGGTCGAAATGTTCCCTTGGCTTTCGCACCGACCGAGGAACTATTCTGCCCGCTAGCGGCAATGTCGCCATGCGGTACCGAGCCGGAACTTGAGAAGTACATGCTCCAGTTTTCAAGCGACCCAAGTTCTGCGCTATACGGAAAGGTCCGTCCACGCACCAAAGCCTGGGATGAGTACGTTCCTGATAGCAACGGCTATGAACATTGTCCTCGAGTCAGTCTGCAGACTCTTCACATTCAACAGCGGATTCTTCGATTCTTGGTCACTTGCAGCAAGCTTGTCTTGCACGATCACACCGAGGATACGCTGGTTCGATATCCTGCTCTAGACGAGCCGCCATATGCTGACCTCGAACTTCGGGCAGATGTTGGTCATACAACATTCGCCGACGCGCTCGTCAATGCGCCCTACAGGAGCCGAAGGTCTATCGATTTGGCTAGATTGCGTGGATATTTCAAGGCCTCATGTGAAGACGCAAAAGATCACATCTTTGCATTGCGCGAGGACCCTTCTTACTTCGCAGACGTGTTTCTGGACTTATCCGATCACAGTGTCGAGATGACACATAATGAAAAGGGGCAGGTCCATCCGGATCTGGGTAGTACCAAATTCCTTATGAACATAGCACGCCAAATTGTCTTCGAGGCTTACACCATGTTTGCTATCTGGCAAGAGCTATGTGGCATTGTGGATAAGCTAACTGAAGCCTTCCACGAAGGGGCAGGGTCTAATGATCGCTTCATATCTCTCATGAGCGAGCTGGCTTGCAGGACCCAAGACTTTTCAAAGTTCTTGCAGCATGGACTTGCTATATCTGCTGTCAGTGCACCCAACATACGAAAGTTTTTCGTCCGTGGGGATGACTCAGCTACCGATAAAGCGGTTCAATTTTGGTCGTTGAAGAAAGCGAACCTCGATGAATTCAGCATGATCTCATGGTTCATGTACTTCCTCAAGGAACCAGATGATAATCTGAAGGGCACAGCTACATACCATTTACTGGATAAAATGGCCACACTGATGAGAACCAGCAAAGATGCAAAAGCTTTGATGTCGCCTCGGATCTTAAAGCTCTTTGGTCGAGTATTCCTCATCGAAGAGTGCATTATGCAATGCACAGTGTGGTACGATATACGGCAGAGCTACGACTTTGCCAAGGACGTATCACACTCCCACGACGAAGACTTCTTCCGATGGGCTCATCATATGCAACACTGTCAACTTCCAGTTCACACCATCAATCCTTCTCGAGGGAAGTTAGCATACCCTATCCACAAGCCTCGTAATAGGAGCAACGTTCGTACTATGCGTACTGCTGAAGCGAATCTCGATCGATTCTGGGACTGCGTTGACACGTTCTACGAGGAGCATACAGGGGTCTCTCAACACGGAATCATTCGTCAGTGTATCCTAGAAGGAGGACAGATGCAGCGTACGCCACCATGGGAGGAACCTTTGGCTACCATTCCTAAACCAATGGAGCAGCCGGAGTATGTCTACCAACCCTTCTCGAGGATCTTCCACAACAAGGCCATGCAGATCACTGGAGCTTTTGATCGGCTAGCTATCGAAGAGAAGACTAAGCCGAAAACAAAAGGCAGCACAATTATCGCTGTGGTCGATGAGGCTGCCAACCCGGTCCCTGCGGCTAGCGAAGACACATTCCAGCAGACCTTCACCCTAGACAAGCGCGCGTACAGGACAATGAAGGCCTTGTTCCATGTCGCTTTGTCAGACGACGAAGACTTTCCCAAGGCCATCAAGTGGGATGAGTTCAAGCGCGCTATGGTACGCATCGGATTTGCTGCGGAGAAGTTGCAAGGTTCCGCATGGCAGTTCACACCTGGCGAGTCTCTCGATGCCGACCGTGGCATTCATTTCCATGAACCACATCCCGACAGCGACATACCGTACATCATGGCGAGACGATTTGGAAGGAGGCTTGAGCGCGTATATGGCTGGCGCAGTGAGATGTTCAGGCTGTCATGAGTACTGAGCACACCGGTAGAGAGAGAGAGAGGGAAAGATGATGAAAAGAAGTACGCAGTGGCTGCGATGAGAGACAACGGGTGACTGGATGGTCAAAGAATGGTGTGTTCAAGTGTTCCGGGAGCGTTGTCCCACGCATTACGCGTTCTGCTATCTGATGTCGCAAGCGTCTAGTAAATTGCCCGTAGCTAGAATGGACATGACACAGAACGATATGATCGCACCTCCACTTTTTGAGTCTTGCCGAGCATCTCTGACGTTGAAGTTGTAGACACCGTTCTCAACAACGGTGCAACAGACTTTCCGGAGAAACCGCAATTTCGTTCGCGCCCAAACTTATAGCCTCCAGCCAAAGCTCTTCAACATCCGGCTTGCTCTATGCACCACTCGTGTTCTCAACGAGAAGCCGCGAACTACGGGTATGTCAGACCGAAACGTATTCAATCTTGCTCGGAAGGAGAACGTAACTCGCCGCCGAGAGAAAGAGCTCGGTCGCCATATCCTAAGCTAGCAACACCAAGGAAGCATTGCTAAGGTCGAAGGTGCGAAGCACACTGCGGACCGTTCCAATTGCGTATATGGATAAGGGAGATGCTTGCTGAAATAGGTGCAGCAAGCGCCAATGCTCACCGCAGCAAGCGCCAATGCTCACCGGTCCAGGTCCCTTCTATACGTTTACTGCCGCAAGTTCCAAGTCGTATTTCTCACGCCGATCAACCTCCATTGTCCACTCGACCAAAAGAGGCCTCTCGCGCTATCATCCTAGTCTCCCAGGATACATCGCGTCTATAGACACGACACTGCACCTAGCGCTTTTGGTATCTTGTCTCTTCGCCATAGTGAGCGCGACTGGCGAGACGAAAGATGTAGCCTCTGTTGACAAGCGCCATTCAAGTGGCACATTATGTTGCAAGCTCTCTACCTCTGAAACCTGACTGGGAGTTGGCTTTCGGACGTTAGCTTGGCGCTCCAAATCCGAAGGGGGCGTTATGTCTGAGCGACTAGAGTGCGCACGATCTTGGATGACGCGAACAATTTGACTGAGTACTGCGAACTCAATCTTGAGCTTGAAGCTGTAAACAAGTGATTTGAAGGTCGTCTGTATCATGTAAAGGTTCAAGAATTCCGTCGTGAGTAGCGCAATATCCAGTATTAGCAGGAGTATGCTCATTGCGACGAGCTGCCACATCCACTTCCTGGCCTTTCCGTCGAAAATAACGCGCATCAGCTTGCGGGTTTCCCATAGGTAGACGCAGGATATCGAGATCTCCTGTATGGTGAAGAGAGTCATTTGTATTTTCTCCATGACCATGTAGCCGCGGAGGTATCGCTCGGGGTGAGTGGTGAATAACCTTAGATTCAAGACTACGGTCGGCACGCAAAGGCATACTGCTGAAACAATGATGACCCAAAAGATGAATCGCAGAAGCCTGAGGTTCGGCGATATCAGGTGTAGGCGCGAGTACAGAACCATGGATTGTCCGGGTACCATCAATATCCATCCGAGCGTAAGGAGCGTATTGTAAAGGCGAGGGTCATGCGCAACGCTGTTTTGTTTCATCCACGCCCCTGGAGACTCAGTTAGCCATGACCACTGCAACTCTAGAAGCTTAAGCGTACCTGTCGCATACGGCACAATGCTGAGTGTGTTGACTATCAAACTCCAGAAGTATAGACCAGTGTACCGTCTGAATACGACGAAGATAAGGATGATGAGCTCAATCGAGTTGTACCACGCGATGGCTGTGAAAGCTGTCATTGCCCGAGGAAGAACGCGATTAGTGCCGAACACGTCGAAGTTGGCGCCGGTGATGCCGTTGGCATTGGTGACGTTCACCATCTTGTCGAGATTGCTATGTGACTGGAGTTGAAGCTTTGATTAAGTGTTCCACACACTACATTATACTCCGTAGATGATGAGCCCCGACATCTCCACTGGCCGCACGGAGTGTGTATTATTGAAGCCACCGGCGCAATGTAAGCATGTGTAAGCATCGTTGGATCTGGTCTAGCGTCACCGCATACCGCTATTTTTGTGTTACGTGTTGGCCATGTATGGCTGCCAACACCAGATAGGTCAGATAAGGCGAGCAAATCGATATTGTGTATCGGAGTGCTAGATCGTGAAGATGCGGTGCGGTGCTGGCTGACATATCGACGTGGCTGCTGCGTAGAGATGGAGACGAGCACCTGCCGGCCTATGCGGCAGCCCGAAACGCTATGTTTAGCCTCTCAACACCGTTTTACACAGGAAGTCCGACTCCAAAGCTAGACATTAGACAAATCGTTTGAATCCTATACTTCAGAGGTTGTAGGCTTTACGAAGCTATACTGATGATCAACGTGGGGTGGGGCAAAGCATGCTGGAGTAAAGCAGGCAAGACGCGATGGCCAAGGAGTCTACCAAGACTCGCGGACAGTATGAGTACCTTCACATGGAAGCGCGCTTGGTCGTTTATTTGCGTTGTAGGTCGACGTGCACCGCGATGGACGGTGGGATGAGGGTCGCGTCGCGTCGCGTGTCATGGGCGGACACATGATTACTCAGATATGACGTAATACTCTATCCACAACGAAACTCCAACACGTCTCTCCAGCCACAACATCTCAAACATTCCTCACGCGGCGACGCCATCTCCAGGTCCTACGATTCCCTACCGCTCCTCCAACTTGAGAACGTCCGAATAATCAGGTTGACGTAAGCGACGTGACAATGGGCCGCACGCGTCATCTCATAGCACGCTTTGTCAGGCAGCGTGAGAGGAAGGGCATGATGCCGATGGATCACTGTTGAGAGTTTAAGCCCAGATATCTTGATAGAAGTGCTTGAACTCCTAGCTGCCTGGTCATAGTCATCTCTAGGCCACCCATACGCAGTTGTGCGAGCGGAGAAGTTTCTAGCTGTACTGTTCATCTTTACATTTTATCAGACTCGTTACATGTCATTTACGCATCTTGTCTTCAAAGTACATCGCACTTTCTTTTGTATTCCTAATTGTCAGTATATCAGATCAAGAATAGTAGCATGTTTTCTCCCATCCTATAAGCTACAACTCGCGTCGTCACTATCTCTACTACAAGGTTACCGTCCGGTCACCTCAGGGCTGCCTGAAAAGAGTAAAGACGCAATTCTCGAGCGCTGTTTCGCCTGTGGGGTGCGCGATGTATCCCAAGGCTTGACGTCAGAGATATGTCTTTATCTTTCCCTCCCTCTTTGACTTGTTTGAAGCTACCGCGAGCGCTTTTATGGCCGCTTTGGTATCGGGGTTCGCTACTGTCGATGAGAAGTCATAGCTTCGTGTCTCGCACTTCTTGAAAATTCTAGGAGCACTATCTCTGATTGGACTTTGCTGGATCTTTACGCCTGTAATATCCAAATTTGGGTGGTACACGTTCGCACGTTTTGCCATTATGACGCATTCACCTGGAATCGGTCACGCATACAAATCACTGGCTTAATGAAAGTCGGTATTCAGTCGCTGCAGCCTTATAGATCCCTGTCGCACGCAATATCTTGGCCAAAGCGTCGCTCTCACGACCTTTCTAGTCACACTACCCCGCTCCGTCAGTCCACACCGCGAGCCTGACCCAGCTTCTTGCAATACTACTCTCAATTCCTCTGCCAGATACCTCTTTTCCTTTGACTCGCATCTTCCCACAATGGCTACCACAAGCTCCGCCCCCGTCTTCACCCCTGACGGCTCCTTGTCCCCCCAGTTGGTTGAGTATCTGGAGGCTATGGAGGAACGCATTGTTTCTCGCCTACTCGCCGCGCTCCGCCCGACGTATGAGGCTGGCGCGCCGGAGCAGACGCTCGCTAAGATGGTACCGGTCGTCGTTGCTTCAGTCCAGGACGCGATGAGCGCCGCGCAACTACCAACGGACAACAACACCGTGAGATTTGCACCGTTTGATGTGCGGTCACTAGACTAACGCGAAATAGACCTCACCGCAGAGACCTCGCGAGTCTTCTAGCAAGCAGACACATTCCCGCTCTGCCGCTATCACACCGCGACACTCCCAGCAGTACAAGGACGTCACCCAGAACCCAAAATGCACGTTCCAAGAACTGTGTACCGCCTTCAAAGTGTTGAAGCCTCACCAAACCTTTGACGAGTACTATCTGGACGTCGCGAGCAAGAAGCCGCTTCCTTCACTTTCGAAAGCTGAAGAGCACATACTTCTCCATGCACCCCGCGTCGTATCCGTTCTCGATTACGCCAGTAATATTCCTCTACCCGACATCACCAGCGACGAGGAATTCTCCGACGATTCGTCTGACAATTCGTCCGACGATGTGTCTATATTCTCGTCGGTCAGCAGCTGTAGCACATTCACCACAGAGGCGCCAATGTCTCCTGAGTTTGACCAAGCCATTGAAAGAGTAGAAGACTCCACCGAACTACACGACGTTGTCGGTGACGACAACAGCACTCCTGCTGAAGTCAAAGCGCCTATTGATGCAGTCTCGGCAGAGCCATCAACCACTATCGAGCCTACAAGGCCCCCCCAGAGTAACGACGGCGCGATAGATCCGCCCGTTACCGAATACAACAACGAGGACGGCAACGATAACAACGGCACCGTCCACGTTGCCGCCGCCGGTGTACGTGAGAACCAGCCCAACACTCATCAACAGACACACTCGACAGATATCACAGACTGCGATGTCAGTACTAGTGAGCTGTCGATCGTCCTTGGAGCAGCATCGCAAACCGAAGCGATGGAAGTCTGCATCCCAGAACCTGCTCCTTCTCGTCCGGTCGACTCTCAAAACACGCGGCCAGAGTTCAGCCAGACCATGGACGGGATAGAGTCACCACCAGCTCCTCGCGATACTTCCGGTACTGAACAGGACGGTATGGATGATATTCAAGTCACCAGCCGCGTGGATACCGAGGAGCAGAACATGGTCGACGCGCCTCCGCCTGAGAGCACTACTGAATCACGAGCGAGAATCAGGGCCCAGGCAAACACAAGAAACCACTGGTCGAACGGCAAAGCCGAATTTCTACTAGCACTATTTCCTGATCTTCACGTCATTCTGAAACAAGCACATCCACAGATGGTGCAGGAGAAGCAGCAAAATCGAATTCGGGACGAGATTTTCGACCATATCGGCGAAGCAGAGTCTGCGAGAGGGCTGGCCAATGACCTTGACTTCGCCATGAAGAACAGTCTGATGACTAATGCAGAATACAACAGGGTGAAAGAATATGCCCAAAAGGTTGCTAAGAGCAATCATGTTGGCGCCTCCCAGACTGCTGCCAGCAGTATCGCGCAGTCAGCTAGTCTCCCCGCTCCTCCTGAGACTTCGATCAAAGACCAATTCATCGGACTGCTGATCGAGGCGCGCAGAAAGATGATGAACAAGAACGAGCAAAACAAACTCAATTCTGCCTCAGACATGTTTGAAGGCCAGTTTAACATCTCATTTGAGAAATCATCAGACATCGAAGTCATGATGGATTATCTTACCAAACAATCCCGGTTCCAGGCTTGCGACAGCAATGGCAAGCCGATGATAGACGTCGAAAAGACCGTCCAAATTACACAAGCTCGCGTCGAAGACGTGAGTCCCCTTGGAAGCGAAGAGATTATCTGGAGGTGTATGGAAGCTTTGGCCGCTCAGGATCTGAAGGCTGAGAATGAAGCCCTCTCTGATAAGATCAGCTGCGCTATTCGTCAGAGGCATCTTCAGGAACTCTTCGAACGTATCGCAGAAAGGAATTTTGGGTTGTACACCGCGAAGAACATTCAAGGTGGCCTGACCTGGGACGAGATGAAGGATCTTGCGAAGAAGGAGGAGCGCCACTACTTTGAGCTCCACCACTACAATCGGTCGAGGCGGAACAACCTATCAACTTACCGGGAACATATGGATAACAAGATGAAGTATTGGGGCCACAGGGACAACATGAGAAACGAGATTACTCGTCGAAGGGCCGCTCAGAACCAGGCTCTAGGCCAACCCCCTGTCACAGATCCCGTTGGTGGGGTAGACACAACGGCTCCCTTTAAGGGAAAGCGCAGCATTGCTGACATCCCGCACGATGACAATGCGCAAGTCCAGAAGCGGTTGCGAGAAGAGCCCGCTGAGCCTACTGAAGAGCAGGAGCGTGCTGAGATGAGGAAGAGGAGTGCACGAGGGGCCGCTGACTCTGAGAGCAGCGAGCGCGTAAAACGGAGTCGTGATTGAGTCCTTGGGATCAAGGCGGTATCTTTGGACAAATGTCTTTTGTTTAGTCAGCGTTTTTGTTTTCTAGTTCTTTACGCGGAGTTCACTGGGTTAGGAGGTGTCTTCGGGCGAGGAGCTCCTTTCCTAGTCAGCTTCATTCTCTTGCTTCTTATGTGCTTCGTATAGCAAGCACACACATGTCATCATAGTTGTTACTTCCCGTGGAGCATTCTCCCGAGCAGACACTGTGATGGATGAACGTTCGGTTAGAGTTACGCCAGCGAAAGGAAAAGTGTACATTGCCACAACGATGATGTATTGTGATGCACAACGAAAGCTACCCTGTCTTCTAATCCTCCTTATGAGTCCCACTACACTGCAGACATTGTCCAGATGCCTTTGGTATATGCAATGTCTTCTAGTAATACCTCACCTCTCGCCCCTAACTACTCATTGCAGCGAATCGTCACCTGCTTCGGTTCCATTGTCATCTCCATCCGCTCCCGCAAAACCTTGTTCAATTCCAAATCGCATGTGATCGTCGGTTGCATCGTATGCTACCGTGTCCGGAGTCTTCGCGCCTAGCCAAAAACCTCTAACGTGGCAAAAGATGAGCCCACACCTTGTGCGTGGATCAGCGAGCTCTTTGCTAGGGACAGTTTGTGGGTTGTTGATCTGCGCTCCGTGATGGAAACGAGCCGCACGCTCGTAAAAGTCCATCAAGAAGTCGTTGCTGACAGGTACCCGAGGTTGGAACATCCCCATGTTCCTCGATGATCGTCCCGATGCGATGGGGGTATCGAGCGTCCGCACTAACCTCGCCACATCCTCAGCATTATAAACGTCGTTCGGTCCGAGATTATGCTTGCAGTCTTGCGCCATCAAAACCAACAGGAAATATAGGTAAGCTGCTATACGACGCCAAAATCCTTCGACATAGAGCCTTCTCGGGGTATAGTTTGGTTCAAGCATAAGCCATTCCGGATCTGAGATAAGAGTACTTCGCGTAAGCATTAGCTCGTCGCATTGTTGGAGATCGTAAAATAGAGTGTTCGGTTCTGCTCCTCCCACGCTCTCAAAGCTGATTAAGGCGCGCCAAAGTATTGGGTCAGGGATGACGTGGCGAGGAAACACACGTGCCAGTTCTATCATGTCTCGTGAAAGATTTACGAATGGGCGATAGGCGCACTCCCGGTGGGTATGTCCCCAGAATGCAACACACTCGATGTTGTAGGTGTCCAGTTGCAGAGCCAAGGTCGTGCGGTCAAAATGACCGTCCGGTAAACCGAGCCCTTCAAGTAGATATCTAACGAGCCCAGTGATGCGGGGAAGCCACGCGTTCGCACTCAGCTCTCGCTCGTCCGGTCTGAAGGCGTTCACCATTTCTTTCCACAGCTTAACCAGAAACCCATCGGGATCGAAAATGTCGAGTGATCGCAGTATACTACCCCCTAAATGCCAGTTCTGTAAAGCTCGAAATCGAGTTTGTGCCTCAATTACGCTTGGCGACTCCGGCTCGTAATGATCATCAAACTCCCATTCAAGATCAGAGTCAATTTCGGGCTCCGTCTCCGTCGCAAAGAGAATGTCTCTGCACTGTGGACAAGTACCCTCGCTGTCCGACTGTTCCAGCCACGCCTCCAGGCAGATCTTTCCGAACACATGGCCACATTCGCGAATCTGGTACGGCCAATGAGCGACGTCGAACGGTTCTCTGCAGATGCTGCATTCGGCGAGCTCGAGCCCATGGGTGAGGAAGTCGGCGCAATCGCTGAACGTGGCAGGGGCCATTCTTGACGAGTCTGGCGTCGGCGAAGAAATGTGGTTGAGTAGTCGTGCGCGGGTACGCTCGCGCGTGTATCGTAGAAGGCAGATAAAAATTGCGGGAGGGTGGTAAGAGTTGCGAATGCGGGCTCTCTGTGAATGAGCACAATGGTTTGGAGCTGTATTTGTTGTTGTTAGGTCACCGGCGCCGCGTATTGACCGTCACGCGCTTCTTACGACCTGAAAAAGGCCATAGCGTGGATTAGCAAACGAAGCGATGACGTAGAGGGACAATAGTGATTGTTGTAAAGTTGTACTGATTGTAATATTGGAAAATCGAATGCTACTACGCTGGAAATGATGAGAAAAACACAGGTATGTATGATACTGACTGAACGCCATGTATGCTATGCGACCAGCCAATGACGGCGCCGAATGCAAATCGCTCGGATGCATATGTCTAGCTACCAGCGTGGCCTGTAGGACCTTGGGAAGTGTCTGCAAAATGTTAGCGTTATATCCACAACCACTCTTCTCTCGATTACGAAACTCACAATCCATAGTAACAAAAGCGCGGTCGACCTCGTTCAGGCCCTCTAGACAGTACTGCAGGGTCTCCGCAATGTCATGGCACTTCCTCAACGGCGTCTCCTCTTTCATGAGCACATCAATCTCAACACAGACACCATCACCCGCATGGTAGCACTTCAGACTCTTGAAGCCTTCGACGAGGGGCGAGAAGCGGTATGCCATATACATCATCTTGCGCTCCACACGGTCGCTGGCCTGCTCACCGGTCAAACGGGTGACGTTCTCGAAGCAAGTGCAAGCCCAGTCGTAGATGATGAAAAGCGAAAGGCAAGCTGCGCCAAGAGGGTCGAGCCACCAGACGCCGACGTGGCCTCCGATGAGCGGGAACAAGAGGGAGAGCGTGTTGAAGATAACGTCTGATTTTGTCAGTTATTGCATTCCAAGAGGTGAAGGGAATGAGCCTACCAGTCTTGCAGTCTTGGGCCAAAGCCTGTACTTGTGTTGTCTTGACCCTTGCGCATCCTACCCAAATGGTACCCTTGACGACAATTGTAGCGACCATGGCGAAAATAGCAGCTGGTGGCAATTGAGACACACTGTGGTCACCACTTGGCAAGAGCTTCTTGACCGACTCTTGCAAAATCTGGAGGAACGATATGACCATGAGAATGGAGAAGACCAGGATACCGATTGGTTCGAGGCGTCGGCGGCCGATGGGGAACTTCTTTCGCAAACCCTCCACACGCCAGCTTACAAGCTTGTTGGTAGTCCAGATGATGACGGTGCAGAGCAAGTCAAGAGCCGAATCGACGAGGGATGCAATCAAGGAGAGGGAGCTGGACCAGATGGCTGCTACACCCTTGGCCGCGAGGAGAAGGATATTTACGATTACGTTGATCTGTACTCTGTTAGTTTGGGAAGGCATGTTTCAATTTTGGGACCTACATTGATCGCCCATCTCGCATGCTTAGCGGACTTTGCTCGCTTGTTGCGCTCCTCCTCGGGTAGAAATGGTTCCAAATCCTCTCCGCTGTTACCCAATGGTCCCCGGTCTTCTGCCACGCCATCGCCATCGACGTCTCGCGGGTTCATACTATCGACGATGTCGTCGGCGAGTGAGGAAACAACCATGTCGACTTCGGCCCAGTCGTCTAGGCGCTCATTCTGCTCCTCGTAGAAACCGCGTACCTTCTTATTCTTTATAGATTTGAGCTGAGGTTGGATGTTAGCATCTTTCTCAGCAGTTCGATCGTTTGCAACATACGCTCTCGTCACTCTTCCTGTAAATTTCGAGCGCTTCATGGTCGATGTTGTCGATCAACTTCTGTTTCATTTCATTGGCGCGGTTGTCTTTAACGGTTTGTTCGATCGCATCGCGGAATCTACGCTTCGGCTTGACGGGGGTAATCGCTCCATATCCGCTTTCCAGGTCGACGCGCTGGTACTTGCTGAACTGTTCGACATTGTGGCGACGGTTGACATTGCCGTTGCTGTTGTCGTGGCTATTGAGAACGTTGCGTCTGCCTCCAACCATTTTGTATGACTTTCGGGCCTTTTCGGGGCTCTGGGGTATCGTTGTGAATGGGAGTAAGGAAGAGGATGCAAGCAAGGTCTGACAAGAGAGACAAGCATACAAGAGGGAAGACGCGACGCGCTGTCAAACCCTGGCAGCCAAGGTTCCGAGACTTGGAGGGCGCCAATGCGTAATAGCGCTGGAGAGCGCATCATAAATTGGATGCGCCATACTCGATCTGGTGGCGTCCATGCATAAGACGGAGATTCTTGGTGGTGCTTGCTCCAGCTTGCGTCGCAAGGCGATGAAAGGATGGTATGACATCACTCCCCTAGCGTCGCGTGGAGGACGCGACATCTGGATCTCGGCACCTCCGCGTCCGCCTTCATCGCGTTGGGTGCTTGGCAGGTACCACTGCTGCACATCACCCCGCAAAGCGATGCGAGCCGTCTTTTCTTTTGGGTCAGATGCAGCTTTTCCTTCTATTCGAACCGTGGAATTTGCTCTTCGAAAAGGAATATCGATGGAAGCATATCATGAAGCGGTGCATTGACGTCACGTTAAAAACCGGATGGCCATCAACACCAACGCCGTTGAAACACGTTCCGGCCATCGAGTGTGCCGCTTAGCCGGAAGGCCCGAACCATACATTCGGTATACTTACCTGGAACAACACTCCAGGGACAGTAAAAACAACATTCGCTCCATTTGATAGGAAGCTTTATCTCACCTATGAGTTCGAATTCCGGATAAAACCCGTATAGATCTTCCCGGCGCGGACCGACCTCGGCAGCCTTCTTGGGTCACGTGAGACATCCTTCGTCCGCAATGGACCATCGTCGAACGCTCCGGGTCCTGTTGTCTTCTCGTCGTTGCTTTGCGATAACATCGACATGCTACGGCATCGTCTGACAGTGCAGAAGTTGCCCAGACAGCCACAGCCAAGCAGCAATGGAACCGCCGGCCCTTGAGCCGCTTTACATAAGCAAGCCCCGCAAGTAATAGGTGTCCGTATTCTCCGTATTGAGTTTAATAGGAGGGCGAAGCTCGCCAAGTGAAGCCGAGCACTTACGCGGGACGACGAATAAAACCAAACTTGTCTGCCACTACACACCAGGTGTCCTGAGTGTCAGCAACAGCCCAGCATGGCAACATCAACAGCAAACGTCGGCCGCCCAAACAACAATGCGCTACTGGCTCTCATGGCTGTGTTGGCCGCGCTCGGGTTCTATACCATGCGCATCACGACCGCGATGAACGATATTCCTGTGGGCTTTCTAGAAACAGCAGCGTCGGGCGTTTTCCCAAATGGTGTGCCTATCAAAAAGGACTACACGAGCATTCACTTGGTGGACGAAGGTCTGTCTTTCCTGGTGGCTGCCTTTCTATCCGGCCCGATGCGATGGAACGAGCCATATTATTGGCAACAACTCTACTTTCTCATCCAAATCACGGCCCTTGTCACGATCAACAATGTTGAGGCGTACCGGCAGCGAAATCAGAATAGTTGGCTGAAATAGTAAGTCCGCCAATGTGGTATTTGGCGAAACCGGAGGTAGCTGACATTATGCAGCATTTCCATCTGGGCCTTCGTCTATCAGAATGTTGGAGCAGCTTGCATCGTCACTATCTGGTGGCTACTCCTCCATCGCGTCTCGCAGCCCAAAGCGTACTTTGAGAGCGGACGCACTATCCCGTTGCCTTACGCGCGCGTGATCCTACCAGGCGTTTTCCTGTTCTACGTTGTGCCTACGGTCGCATTGTTCCTTCCCGACCAAAGCGCAGATAGGGTGCAAAAGATCCTAGCATTCTGGCAATTCACACCCATCCTTACCGGCATCCCCATGTGGCTCGTCTCCCTCTCCGGTACCTCGACCACCGTTACCGCGAGCAACAGGAATGCCGACGTTCGACATCTCAAAGTCCTCTACGCTCTACTTTTCGTCCTTTGTGTGGCAACTCATTGGTACGCCATCCGTGGCATTTCCCTGTCGACAGACCCCGATGTCACGTACGCCCGCGTCTTCCTACCCAGTACCTATACCTGGAAGAGGAACGCTGATTGGGGTTTGCTGTTCATCTTCCAGTGGGATTGGCTCATCATCGGACTAATGTACATTATCCCGTCGTGGGTCGCGGTGTGCGATGTGCAGCGGATGAGGAACGGAGAAGCCACGCTCGAAAACCTCTTTGAGAGCTTCCTTGTTATTGCGGCCCTGACGGGTGGTGGTGGTCCAGGCGCAACGCTTGCCGCTGTCTGGTTCTGGCGAGAGGCTGCACTGGCGGACATTGAGATTGCATCGGGGGCGAAGAAGGTGCAGTAATTGTGGAAATCGAAAGAAAGTTGCTAGGAGATCAGACGCATTGTCGAGTTTGGATCACTAGTGACGAAGAGCAGAGTGACCATCAAGCCTATAGCTATCAATAATTCGAACCAGTATCCTACTACCTGTATTGTCTATGCCAATATTGGCTGCTATCCATTCGCATAACGTCCTGCGATCTCATCCATAACCCCAACCACCCCTCTTGCCAATCTCATTGTCCTCAACACCAGTGCCTTCTAAGATTGTTCGTCTAAGTTCAGCGCTAACAACGCGGCTTCTGGGTCCTCCGAGGACTCAAACGCTCCCGTTTGCACCAAGTCCCTCCAGCTTTCAACCCTATCAACGATAGCAAGCAACCGTTCGTCTGACACCTGTACATCTGAAGGGGTTACAGGTGCAACGTCTTGTTGCAGCAGGGTGTACAGTTGCTGCAAGAGTGATGGATGCTCGTTCCCGTTGTTGGTATCCTGTACAAACTCACGAACAAGTCCGTTCACAATCTTTGACACATGGCCTTGTGTCTGGGCTACTTGTGTTGTCGACATACGTGGTAAAATATCTTCAAGTAGCACTTGTGCTATCTCTCCAAGCGCAGTCGTGAGTCGGCCTATGATTCGAGAGATATCGTCGGGTGAGAGTGGTGTAGACATCACGCTGGTCGATAACGTGGTACGTGATAGTTGGTGGTGGCCATGATGAGTCCTTATATATCCGCGTGAAAGCTTTTGTTTGCTTGACTAAGTGATACAAGGGGTAAGTGGAATGTTCTTATGATTAGGTCCGAAGTCCCTCACACCCTCAGCATGTGATCAGTAGAATGAGGTCTGCTGGCAGGATGGTAACTAATATCTTTAGAGATGAGGATACTCACCCAGGCGCTTTCGACTCTAAATATTGAAGCTAAACACTCGCAAGACTTTGACGAATTGTTTTCATCGTTGAGAGACCTCATGGTCGTGACAGTAGCGTGGAGTACGTCTCCTTCACATCCCTTAACAGCGGTGACTCTAGAACCTTCTCCCAATCGTCATTGAGAACATTCTGCAAAGTGACAGCGCCAATATCAACGAGCGACCTAGTCTCTTCCTGACCAGACCATGCAATTCTAGTCGGCCAGAATGCAATGTGAACTGCCCAATGCACCACCATCCTCGTCAGCCACGCCTTGCCGAGCACCTCGGTGTACCCACGAGCTGTAATATATGCATCCAAGAACACACCGAGTAGCCCTCTACCGCCTCGAAAGCGATCAAGAAGGAAAGCCTCAGCAGCGAATTGACCGACATCCGTTGCGCTGGTGCCACGACGCACAATCTCCCAGTCCACGATGGTCAGCTCAACCGGCTGCAACTCGGCATCACGGACGAGGATGTTTCCAGGCCAGAAGTCGCCATGGCATAGACACTCGTCGTCTGTTGCGAGTAGACTGCCGAACTTTTCGTTGACGAGAATAGCGAGCTGGGGGTCGTGACCGAACTGCGTCAATGCGGTGTGTAGATCGCTGTACGAGTAACGGTACACGCTGACAGCAATGGGGTTGTTATTGCTGTCCGCAGCCTGATCTGGTGAGGCGAGCGAGAAGTTCCTTGCTGCAGTATGCAGTGCAGCGAGCCATGTCGCAAGCTGCTCTCCAATGTACAACATGTCGAGCTTCGGGTCCGTATAAGCGTCCTTCAGGTTACGACGCCCGCCATCCTCGATCTGGAGCAGCTTTTCTGATTGATCGTAGCTCAAAAACCTCGCAGCGTGTACATTCGAGCTGGTAGGGCTCGTGGGTAGAGGGCTCTTCGTCGAAGATAGTGCTTCTAGAATCCGGACCTCATAATCCATACGGGCAGGATCGAGTACAAAGTCCTTGTTGAGTTTCAGGACAGGCTCTGCATGTTTGAAGATGCTCGTGGAGCCGTCGTGCTTCGTGACGCGGAAGACGTAATTTGCATTGCCTCCTGAGAGAAGCTGCACGCTAGCTGCTGGGAATCGGTTCGCTTCGAGGTATTGCTGGAGACCTTTCTCATCCGTAAGATTGTAGGTACCCATGCTGGTAACCTGATATCGCTACACTGTGTTGACCGACGTGTGTGATGCGGGACCTTAGAAGCCTGAGAGGTGGCTGGGAAGCATGACGAGGCAGCCACGGCGCCTTTTGTACATCATCGCTGCACGGTATTCCGACGTTGGCAGTCGTTATGGGAGTGCAAACCTGCGAGATCATACGCAGTAGCGATATGATGCAAAATGAGTCATTTCGCAAGAGCTGCCCAGTGAAGGACCTCCTGGGCATCGACGGGCCAGATGCACCAAAGTGGGGAGTTGCGGGCTAGGCCGAGAACGGGCTAGCCGCTGTTCGTCGCTGCTTCCACCCCTTGAGGCATCCATTTTACCCCGCTCGAGACAATACATCCATCAAAGTTGCACCCATTGTTACTACAGAAGCGCACGGGGAGGAATATGCGCTATCTCATCTGATTCCCTTTTACTCATTTTGGCTTCTCTTCTTTTGCTGCGCTTGCTTAGATTGTGCATCGTCTTCCGCTCACCAGTCGCTCAACCTGCGAGTGCTTCTGCGCGATGGAGACGCTCTATCCGACGCGTTTATCGAATAGGCAGATGCGCCTGCTACACGTCCTACCCTCACAAGCCCCTGAGTTCCCAGTCTCATGCGAGCTTCGCCAGTACGAGGTCGACGATAATCCCGCATACGAAGCACTCTCCTACTGCTGGGGCGACTCAAACGACCGACGTGAGATTCTCTGTAACGGTACAACGCACTTGGTGACGGCGAGCCTCTACGATGCGCTTGTGAGGTTGCGGCTGACAAACGAGGTGCGGATTGTCTGGGCAGATGCACTGTGCATCGCTCAGTCTGACGATGAAGAGAAGAGTTCGCAAGTCCGTCGCATGGATTCAATCTATCTTCGCGCCAAACGCGTCGTTGTTTGGCTTGGCAACGACGAGGATGAGCACGCCTCAAAGGTTAAGTGTCTTTTTGAATCTTTGGAATTGATCGATGGTGATCCAACGGATTACGATTCCAATTGGCGCTTACCAGACGCAGGCGCAGCTTTCGCCGCTTCCGTACCATGGCATTCACTGCAAGCCTTTTTTTCTAATCCTTGGTTTCGTCGCATGTGGTGTATACAAGAGTTCAGACTGGCAGCTAATTTGGCATACTACTGGGGAACCGAAGAACTCTCCAGGTATACTGCAGTACGTCTAGCGAGCTGGAACATGAACTATAGTCGACACCAAAGGCCCGTCTCAGTTACAATCGGCGTGACTTATGCCTGGAAAATGAACGGTCCACTGTCGTCGGACAGATGTCGTCTTTTACAAGCTCTCAGCACTTACAGGCGTTGGCATGCTACGGACCCTCTAGACAAGGTATATGGTATACTTGGGCTGAGAGAGCTAGGCGACGAAAGGACCAGTATTCCCATTGATTACGAAAAGTCTGTCGCAGAGGTTTTCCACGACGCTGCCACAGCAATTACTAGATGGACTAGCGATCTTGCAATCTTTGGCCACGTCTACCATGATGTGGACTACGACGGCCATCCAGGATACGAGTCGTGGGTTCCTCAATGGGATCAGTGGCAGGCTGTATCATATGATCAGATGATGGGCGGGCTGTCCCCTACGTCCAGTGCATACGGAACATATAAGTTTACTGAGCCGAACGAGAATATGGCACAGCCACATGGCCGGCAACTCGTGGTATGCGGTTCAGTATATGCAACTGTCTCTTGCACAATCATAGTGCAAGAAGAAATTTCAGACCTCAGCTATGTAGGTCGACTTGAAAGTACGAAGCTTATTGTGGAATACCCGGTCGATATTATTCTCGACTACTGGCGGCAGGAGGTATCCGAAGAAGCCCCAACGGGCAGCGATCTGAGTCCCGCCATGATCTCTATGGCACGAACATTGACTGGAGGACAGGCCAGACACCACTTTAGTTACTACGAAGCGAGCGAACAAAATATGACGGAATATTTACAGAGTTTCTTGGATTGGATCAGACTGTTACATGTACTTTCCAAACATGTAACAGAAGATGGCACAATCAAGTACGATTTTTGTCAAACTGGAACTGGTTGGAGAGTCTTTGGAGCCCTTGTGTCCCGCTTCTTCCATAAATGGGCACTATTTCGTATCAAGGACGGATCTTATGGCCTCGGACCGGTCTGTCTACGAGAAGGAGATCTTATCGTGGATCTAGAAGGAGCATATACGCCAGTTGCGCTACGACCACGGGGCGAGAACTACCTTCTCCTAGGCCAGGTGTACAAGGACGAGATCATGAATGGAGAGTTGATCGAGGAGCTGGAGAAAGGAATCCGGAAACGACAGCAGTTTTGTCTCGTCTAGTCTACGAGGATTCAAGCAAAGATCGCAAAACAAGGAATACCATCGCCGCCCTCCTCAATGCTTCCGCAAATACAAAACCGCCCACCCCAACAACCTATAAACCACAACAATCACCAGCAAATACCCCACATACTTCCCCGTATGCCCCGTCCCAAACCCATAAACCGCCAGCACCGCCTTCCCATCCACCAAACACTGAGCCTGCAACGCACTCGGATACATACACTGACACCCCCCGCCCTCCAACCTCTCACACTCATAACTCCTCTTCCCAAACTCATTCACCATCATGCCCCTAAAGACATACGCCTGATAATCAATGTAATGAAAAACATACCTCCAAAACACATTCAGCGTATCCGGCTGCACCATAAACCCATTCACACACATCCAAAGGCCATTCGCAAACGCCGTCGCCGCAAGCGCAACAACAAAGATGGGTATGAGCGAGGAGAGGAGAACGACTAGAGACTCCGCGGCGAGTAAATCCAGAAACAACCACAGCACCCACATCCAGAACCCGTCGGCTCCGGGCCGGAAATTGCCTAACCAGTAACTCACCATGCTGAACAGTATGGTAATGAGGAACAGGTACGGCACACCCACGACAAAGTTACTCAGCATAAACGCCGTGGGACCGTATAGCCCGTTCGCGCGCTCTTTGCTGTAGATGGCGAGGTCTTCGAGGTACGCGGGGATGTAGGCGACGGCCATGAAGGACATGAAGGCGCCGCCGAAGAAGATGGCGTTGGTGAAGGCTTGGATGTTGGATTGCGTGGGGGAGAGACGCAGCCAGACTGTGCCCATCATTATGGCGAGGCCGAGGTACATGGCTATGCGGATGCCGTAGGCGACGATGTCGCGGTGGGATTTTAGGAAGGAGCGGTGGGTTAAGGTTAGGGTGGTGTGGAGGGGTGAGGCGTGGGTTTTGGTGGAGGCTGGAGAGGATGTGATGGGGGTAGATGAAGCTGTTTCGGCGGCAGCATGGATTTTGGCGGTCAGGGAGGCTGCGGCGGGGGAGGTAGCCCAGGAGGTGTGGAGGTGGGTGAGGCGTTGCTGGGCGGTGGTGCTGTCATGCGAGAAATCCGTGTTGATGAGGTCGATGACGAATTCGGCTGGGTTCGTATAGAGTGGCATCTACACACGAAATGACATGTCAGCTCCTCTCACACACAAAATACTAGATAGCGTTGTCAAGAACAAAAAACACATACCTCATACCCCAACCCCTCAAACCACCCCTTCACCCCCTCAACCCCGCCATTAAAAACCACCTTCCCCCCACTCAACAGCATCAACTTATCAAACAACTTCCACGTCGCCGTAGACGGCTGATGAATACTCGCCACCACCAAAATCTTGTACTTCTTCGCTATATCGCGCACAAACTTGATGACTTCGTAGCTCGCCGCTGAATCCAGGCCACTGGTCGGTTCATCCAAGAAAAGGATTCTGGGGCTTGTGATGAGTTGGCTGGCGACGCTGACACGCCGTTTCTGGCCGCCGGAGACGCCTTTGCGGATCGGGGTGCCGATTAGGGTGTTGGACTGGGGGGTTAGGCCGAAGGAGGTGAGGAGGGAGGTTATGAGGGTTTTGCGGGAGGAGGCGGATATGGAACTAGAGGTGGTGAGTTAGAAAGCTTTGGGATAGGGAGGGGCCATGTCGATTACCTTGGGAGGGCGAGCTGAGCAGCGAAGTAGAGAGTTTCGCGGACGGTGAGGGAACCGATTAGGGCGTCTTCTTGCTCGACGTAGCTGCTTAGTTTGCGGAAGGAGGATAGGGTTGTTGGCGCGCCGTTGACTCGAAGTGTTTGTTGGATGGTGGCTTTGGGTATGGCGGCTCGGTGGGCGAGGATGTTGAGGAGAGTCGTTTTACCGGAGCCACTGTGTGATTCCTGTTAGACAGCTGTTCGCAAGGCTGTGATATTCTGAACGTACCTTGGACCCATCAACGCCATCATCTCTCCGGCTTCGATCATGCCGCTCACGTTGGATAGGAGATCAATTGGCTGTTTAGACGTCCTATCTTTGACGGTGACAGTGATGTTCTCCCAGCTGAAGCTTTTGACTTCATCGTTGGTTAGATGCGCATAGTCAGTGCCTGAAGCAGCCTTCTCAACGTCCTCCGCAGTACTAGCTGAAGACATGACTGAACTCGCGGAACTGATCAATGCTTCGTGATACCTTTGTTTTGGGTGGGAAGCTAAGTGAAGGTACACTTATTGCGCACGAAATCCGTAAGAGCTAGCCAAGTACAATCCAACAAAGAAAGGGCAGCCCGCAAGCATATAACATAACATGCGTCGGACCCCCGATACACTCACGCCCCAGACCCCGACAACCCACAGCCCGCTGCGAAGACCCCGACGGTCCGATATCACAAACTGTCATCGGCGACAACAATCAATCCAGGTCACCGTAAGGGGTGGCCTGAAATCTGCGATATGCGGCGCTGAGATCTGCCACCTCACATGCATGCACACCTCAGGTAGGAAACACCCTTACACCATCATCAAGTGAGATCAGCATAATCCTGTGGCTGAACGCTGTCTGCCAACGGGTATCTGCAAGCCCGTATCGAACGGCTCGAAGCGAGTGTGGGTGATGAAAGCGTGGCGTGCAGAAGCGATGATGAATGGTATGTGAGTGTTGTGTTTGTGATTCGCTCGTACAAGATTGGGATGCAGGATGCAGTATGTTTGAGTATTAGACGCCGGATTCGGGGTCTTATTGGAAGGTCTCCTTGCAGTGCGGTGCGGCGTAGTATCATGCCTACTCCTACCTACTCCAGTTCTTTCCTATGACAATCGCTTTAGCCAAGCACTCACTTAGGCAGCGTTGCACTTCTTGCAACACAGCTCTGCAAGCTCGCACACCCATCCCGATAACGAAGCGGTGAAAACCTTCCACAAAACCATCATACCACATCATGTCAGCAAAACGCGCTGTTCCGCGGCGTAGCTGAAGCCCTATGACTGGGCCAGCCTTATGAGCAGTTCGGCGACGTCGCACGAGGCGGCGTCCGTGCGCGTACAACGTCGCCGAAGATGACAAGGGCGTAGATCTAAGCGACTCACCGGGCTTGCATGACCCCAGGCGCATCTTTTTGTATTCGCGCTCCTGATGATTCGATTGCAACGATTTGGAGTGGGTACGGCCCCGGGCGCCGTCTTGGCTATGTATGCTGCTGCGCGCGTTCCCAAAATGTGCTTACATGTCAGATCTATTGCTGTGCCGGGGCTAAAGATAAATGTCATGTTTAAATTCGCCACTATAGCCAAGGTGATACTACAGCTACAACAGGCTTTCCTGGCAAGAGTGTTCCAGAAGAACTCGAAGCAACCCATCTCTAATACATAAACTCGCTAATCTCCAACAACTGCGCATCCAACGCCCTCTTCGCCTGCACACTAGCCTCCCTATTCTCAGCATTCAACTTCTCTTCATACGTCATCTGCAACAACCTCTTCACTTCCTCTTCACCAAACACTTTGCGTGGAACCCCGAAGCCTTTACCGTAGTCTTTGGCCCGAGCGATAATCGCGTCTGGGCCTGCGGTGAAAAGATCGAAGAAGAGGGCTGCGTAGGGTAGGGTGGCGCCGTCTTCGATGTTCTTGAGGTTCTGCTGCAGGACGAGGATGTTGAGTTGCATGAGCGCGCAGCCGTTGGTGTTCATGCGTGTGATCTTGGAGGTGCAGAGGTTGAGGAGGTAGGTGTCCATTAGAGTTGCGAGGCCGCGTGTGATGTGCACGTATGAGGCGGTGGGTATGTAGGTTGATACTTCTGTGTCGAAGGAGACGAGCGTGGCGTTTAGAGCTAGGATGGCGGGGTCGGGGTCGCTGAGTAGAGTGTCGATGTAGATGTTGGGCTGTATGCTGGCGTTGAGCGAGTACAGGATTGTTGAGCGTATGGAGAGGTGCAGGGTGCGAAGTACGCGCGTGCTGAGGGCTTGGTAGGTTCCTACTACTGCGTCGAAGATACTGCTTGTCGATTAGTGGGATACGGCTTTCATGGATATCGAGACACTTACGCGGCTGTATCTGCGCTCAATGGGAGGTAAATATGAGCGCTCTGTGGTCTGGGATCGGCAGAGGAGAGCTGCGTCCACCTTCTGTTGTGCCTCTGGCCACTCGACTCAGCGTTGATCGGGTCAGAGGCACGATCACTAATATGCCGTAATTGGGCGGTCTTGGTGGCCAGCCACTTCATGCTTGTGTACAGCAAACATAAGCTGACGATACTCTTCTTGTCCTGTATCATGTCTGCTTGATCCAGAGGCTCATCGGCTTCGACTGCTTCAATCAAAAGAGCAACTTCACTTTCGACGGCCTTGTTCAAGCTCTCTTGGTCGGACGAGTCTATTCGCACCAGATGGGCGATGAGGTCTTCCATTGCTTCGGACTCTGACCATACGGCAGGAGCCTTCATAAGACGACCACTTGCTGTAGCCTGTGATCGACTGACAAGGGCTTTATACCAGCCGGTGCACTTCTGAGCGTATGTGTCCATTTGATTGACGATGAGTTGGGAGAACGCTTGGTCATGGGGAAGGTTATCCAACATCTTGCAGAAAGCTGTGATGAGTGTGAAGAATTGTGCAGTACCCTGTTGAGTTAGCATGAGGAGCATATGACCAATGGAGAACGTACCTTGAAAATGGGTTTCTTTGAGTGTTTCGACCATTGAGTGTCCTCATTGAAAGAGTCAACCTCGATGAAGGTCTGAGAACATAACTCGACAAGAGTCTCATCGAGCTGTGGATGGAAGACGTTGACGAGGAAATCGTCCAAGAATGAGGTCAAAGTACTCATGCTAATGTCAGCGTTTGAGGGTACAACCTCCTTCAGCCGGTTGAGGAAGTCTAGTGATGGCGGTAATAGTATGCCCATATTGAACACACTAGGCTCAACGAGCAACTTATGCCCAGTCGCACTGCCATCGAGATTGGTAGCTGTGTTGGTGTTGACATCTTCTGGTCTCTTTGAGTCAGATACAAGTCCGGGTACAGATGTCTTCAGGATGACCTCAAGATCGTCTCGCTCTTTGGAGAGCTCAGACGCTTTTGTATCCACGTCGGATAGCTTGAACATGCGCTTGCTCCGGTCCCGAGGAGCGCGAGAGAATGCGCTGCCAGTAGATGCCTGGCCTTGGCCGCCTCTGTAAGACGCTTCCCCATCCGTAGCTAGATAGTCGTGAAGCAGTGACCGCATCTAGATTCTGTTAGTCAAGAAAAATGTGCAGTACTGCAGTTAACCAACCTCGCTTTGATAGAGCTTCCACAACTCTTTGAAGCCGCGGGTCAACGTCGCACTTGATGCACCTCTGTTCTCCCGACGGACGATGCCGGCCACAACATCGTGCACGACTCGGTGGCTTTCCGCAATCGCTTCGAACCGTGCATAAAGGGTCCACATCAAGTCGTTCAACAAAGTTGTTCGAACATCCTCGTTTTCTACCTCAGTCTTTGCTTTGCCCTTCTTCTTGGCGGAGTAAGCTCGCAGTATGCTCGGGTGCCGTTGCGCGACCTCGTTGTTAGACTTGTCGACGACCTTGAAGAGCTCGACCGGTAGGCGTTGCTCGATGGTGTCTACTGCCATGTCTAGGCGGCTCATCTTGTTCAGTGCTTCCATGACCAGCCGTATGTACTGAAATGTGTCTGTTTCGGGGTTGTGGGTGGAGTCATCGGTCATCTAGAAGTGTGAGTAGTGTACATAATTGGTATGGGCATACATACTGGTTCTGACGTGTCAAGACCATCAAGGAAGTAGTAAAGCAACCGGCCCCTCGCGTCAGTCTGGGCACGCTGCGACAGGTCACCCTTGACTTGGTTCTGGGCATACTCCTTCCACCTGTCTTCGCAGTAGGGGGATTTGAGGTAGAGATGGCTGTGGAGCTCTTCGATCAAGATGTCGGTCAGGGACACTTCCTGGTTGCTGAGGTATGTCCGCAAGTCTGATAGGGCGCCAATCTTCTCCATCTCAGTCTTCCGTATCATGCGTAGCGCGTCTTGTAGTATGTCTACTGCTGTCAAGAAACGCTTCTCCGATATGCGAGCCTCCAGCCGCTCGGGGACGAGTTGTAGTTTCTCAATCGTGTCGAGCATCTGTAGCATCTCGTCGTAGTTCTGAGACGTGGTCGCAAACTCTCTGAGCTCTGGCTTGGCTGTAGAGAGGGATGATTTGGCCGCGACAAGCGAGCCTTTGAGGGTCCTGACACGGTGTTGAGAGTTTTGCAGGCTGGACTGGATCTGATGGAAGGTACCGATGGAACTGTTGAAACCCTGGTGGTGCTCGTTGACGATGCCTTTGAGCGCATTCTGCAGCTGGTCGTGTGTCTGCTGAAATTGACCCGCTTGACTTGCCAGACCGAGCGAACTTGAGTCCATAAGCTTCAAGGCGACCTCGATGGGCACGCATTGGTCTTTGGTCATGAAGTCCCAATTCTGCCGTATGTATTGAAGGACTTCCTCGATTGCCTGGCTGCCCTGTCCGTTGTTTGCGTTCCTGGGGCGGCTCCCATTCTGGCGCTCTCCGCTGCGTCGTTTCGCCTGGCTGCGCTCGATGCTGGTAGGCCGTGTGACCTGGCGAGGGCTCTCGTCACGCCCTGCAAAACCGCCTCCCCCATAGCCACCCGCCCTGCGCTCTCGGTCGCCGCTGGGCCTCCTCTCCATCTCGTCTTCCTGGGCAAGGCCACCGTAGCCACCGGGTCGTCGGGGTCGTTCGCGCTCATTGCTCGGTCGGGGTGGGTAGTCGTCCTGCTGCGCGCTCATGCCGCCGTATCCGCCTGGTCTTCGCGCTCGCTCGCCGCTCGGTCGCCCATCGTAGCTGCCGTCGCCGGCGCCGTATCCATTATATCCTCCTCCGTTGTAGCTGCCGTTACCGTTGGCATAGCCTCCATTGGGTCCCGCCCGCGAGTAGCCCGGATTGCGCGACATGGTGCACTCAGGCGTCGCGCAGTGTTGTGTTCCGTGCGTGGCTTATTTGGGCATGCATGGTGCGCAAGAGTGAGGATTGCGCGTCATTGGGTGTCCATGTGGTGCATGTGTACTGTTGCGGGGAGCTCGGGGGTGTTGGAGTAGCAGCAGGGATCACCAACGCGAGTCTACTATGAAATGAATGCCGAACATGAACATCAGGGCACCTAGGCA